TGGAAAATTGTTTCATCAATGGGAATGTTGACCTTAACCAGAATATTGACGTCATGTTAACAGTCACAGATGTTCTTTTTTTTTTCTTGGAATAAGATGCATTAAAAACACACAAACCAAAAAAAAGAAAATGGTACCCGTGGGTACTAGTTAGCCCCAAGGACAACGTGGGTGTGTTCTAAAAATAGCTCACCTGTGACGGGACACTGTGGGTCTATGTATGTATTTATTTATTTAAAAATGATATATGTTAGTTCTGTACTAAATATTCTATATTGGTACATAATAAAATATATTAATAACAATAAAATAAAATGAAAATAAAATATATTGTGTTCAATGGGACGAAAATGCAAAATGCTCGAAGGAGCTGAAAGACCACGTAAATGAGCATTAAGTCACCTGTTCTAATAGTGGCTTTGGGGAAAATGACTTTTTTTTAACAAAAAAAAGTTAGATAATCTAGGTTTAAAAGCAGCTCAATTTGATGGGTTAATAAATGACAACCTCTCAAAAGTGAGCATTATTTTTGAAAAGATGTCGTTGTCATTCGGTGAGATCTACTTCATGTTAGGGGTACTCATCATACACATGAGCATACCTGATGCGGCGCTGGCGTGTCTTCAGGCGTCTCTGTGGTCTCTGCTCATCACCCTGGTGCTGCTCTTCATCCTGACGGCAGCCATGCTGGGCCCCGAACTGTTGTCGGCCATTCCGCCGTCCGTCTACGTCGTGGCCCTGCTGATGCCCATGTGCGGCTACGCGGCGGGCTACGGCCTGGCCGTGCTGTTCCACCTGCCGCCCAACAGCCGCCGCGCCGTCTCACTGGAGACGGGCTGCCAGAACGTGCAGCTGTGCACCGCCATCCTCAAGCTGGCCTTCCCGCCGCAGCTGATGGGCGGCATGTACATGTTCCCGCTGCTCTACGCGCTCTTCCAGGCGGCCGAGGCAGGCGTCTTCATCCTGGCGTACCGGACGTACCGCAGGCGGGTGTTGGGCAAGGAAGAGCCGCCGGTCCGGCGGGACGGCGAAGACACGGACATCACGTACCAGCGCTTCCAGGACGAGGACGTCGACTTTGACGCTTCGTACGGGGCAGTGACGGTGAGCGACCCGAACACCATCATGCTGGACCCCTGCCCGCCGGACCCGACGCCTGTTTGACAAACACAAGTTAGTGTGACATCGTGAGAAACAAAACAGTATAAGACGGGCTGATGCATGGAAGGCCTCAATCATGCGTGTTTTTCCCTTTTCAACTGGCAATTGCGAATTTTTTAAAAATGGCGAATGAAAGAAAATGACAGATTTTGCAGCATATCTCAGAAAAAGTTCGGGATATTTGGCCGGCGGGTGAAATTTCAGGTTAAAGATTTTCACACGGGAACTTTACAGAAGAACTTAATTTGATCTTTGCAGAACTCAATTTGACCTTTCCATAACTTCTCTCAACTTTTGATGACAGCTGAATGTTGCTGCACTTTTTGTTCAACTTTTTGTTCTGTAACAGTGAGTTGAATGGCAAAGTTCACAAGTCCATGAAAATGTTCACAGGTTCAACTTCTATGCCTTTCTGTGACTCTTCCAGTGGCTCTTGCAACTCTGTGATTTTCTAAACTCAGTGACAAGGCTTCAGATGTGATACTCTCATATTTTTGATATTCGATTGCCAATTGGAAGTGGAAAGAACAAATGATACACGCATTCTCAATGTTTCTCAGTTTAAAAAAAAAGCATCATCATGCGTGAAAACACATCAGTCTGTGAATGTAACAATCAGCCATTTTGTGTGTGAACAGTTGTACAATGTGTATATGAAAAGAAATGTATGGAGGAAATTAAAAATGTACAGATGTAAACTCTCCTTTCTTGGATCAAGAACCTTAAAGTCAAGTATTAATGCTCTCAACGGCCCCACAAGTGTAAAAAGAAGTTAACCACAAATATAAAGAAGACAACAAAAATAAGGGCAGCAAATATCAATTTTAGTTTCATTCTTCATATAAGACATTTTTTTTTTATTTAATAAAGCATAAATAGCACTGTTGGCTTTTGACGACGTATAGGTCAGCTATGTACAGACGAGGCATCATCACCATTGAAAAAAACTTTTGTAACCCAGGCGTCAGCACATCCCGTGTGTGGATGCACCAAAAACAAAAGAGGACGGCACATTATGCCGCATACATTTGAGCGCAGAAATCGTATAACAATGACAAGGACACTGAGAATAACCTTTTGCAGGTAAAATATTTCATTATACTACTACATTTACAGCAAACTTTTTGGGATTGACAAAGAAGTAAATGCCATGAAAATTGGTTGAATTTCAATTTCAATGCATTGCCATTGACGGTGAGGTCGCCGCTCGAACAAACATTGAACTTACAAAAATCAATAAAGCTGTCCCTCTTTTGACTGCTGGACACGCCCCCTGACTTTTGGCGGGAAAACACCTGTATTGAATCAGTCCTAATTGTCAATCACACGTGCGATTTAAATTACGTCACCTGCGGCCTTGCCGGTAGAAGAATAAAAAAAGAAAAACCAAACAAAATGGCAACATACGGCGACGAGCCGGTCGACCGCTATTTCTACCCATCTTACAACCACAACCCTTATGCGGGCCGTTACCGGCCCAAGGAGGCTCCGTGGAAGTACAAAAGTAGTTACCTGTCCCACTATGGCGACGCCTCCGAGGCATTCAACAACCAGCAGCGGGCCCAGCTCAAGTCCATCCTGTCTCAGATCAACCCCAAGCTCACGCCGAGACTCCGCAAGGCAAACACCAAGGACGTGGCCGTGCAGGTCAACCCCAAGCGGGACGCCTCGGTGCAGTGCTCCCTAGGACCGCGAACCCTCGTCGCCATGAAGCGAGACTTCCGGCGCAAAAAGTCCTCCGAGAGTTCTGTGACGTCCGGTGAAGATGGAAGTCCCAAGACTGTGGTGCGGTACCCGCGGACGCTGGCGCTCTACTCCCCCGTCGCTTACCGGAACATTACCTGCTTCGTGGCGGAGGACGAGGATTCGCCGCCCGGGGAGCCAGCTGCCGCCAAGCCGGGTGACGAGGAAGAGGAGGAGGAGGAAGAGGGCGAGCCCGCGAAGAAGAAAAAGGAGGAAGAGAAGAAAAAGGAAGGCGGGGAGGAGAAACGGTCCGAGTCGCTCAAGTCAGAAGAGCTGCGGAAAAGCGAAGACATCGGGGCCGCCGTAGACGAGGTGTCGAAGGGGAAAGCCAGAGTTCGCTTCCAGGTATAATCAATTTTGCAAAATTTGGGGAACATTTTGTCAAATTTGGCAGCTAGAAATGTATTTTATTACAGATTAAAGTTTCGCTTGTATTTATTTAAGGTAAATACACTTAAGTTTACTTTTACTCAACGTTCGTTTTGCGAGTCCCCCCCCTTCAATTTTGCAAACCAACATTTTCCAGAAACAATATTTTTTTTTTTTTTTGGACTGTAGTTACATTAATACCCTTTGCGCACACCTGGTAAACTCTTATTAAAAACCATGCACGTTTTATGCGACAATGTTATCGATCTGAAAATAGCTGCATTAAAAATAATGCTGAGAAACATGTCTCGTCTTGATTTCGACTCAGTTTCTGGAGCAGAAATACGGCTATTATCACTGCCGAGAGTGCAACTTAAGATGGGAAAGCGCTTACGTGTGGTGCGTTCAGGGAACCAACAAGGTGAGAACTTGGGAGAGTGTTTTTGTTGATGTGGTTCAGTGCACCTTACGACCCACCACTGTTGCATTGCAGGTTTACTTCAAACAATACTGCAGGAAATGCCAAAAGGAGTTTAACCCGTACCGCGTGGAGGACATCACATGTCACGTGAGCCACTTAAGTTTACTTCACAAAAAAAGTTTGTCAGTCTTGAATAAACTGTCATCATCTCATGTCCAGACTTGCAACAAAGCCCGCTGCTGCTGTGCCTTAACACAACGCCACGTGGACCCCAAGCGTCCGCACAGGCAGGACTTGTGCGGCCGCTGCAAAGGGAAGCGACTTTCATGTGACAGCACCTTCAGCTTCAAGTACATCATCTGATCACAACAGCAAGCGGATTCTGTAATTGGTTCAGTACTTTGGTGCATGTTTGGTTGCAGCGATTGCGTCGCCACACACATTCACTATTAAAATGTCTACCTTGCACTTTTTGGAAGTGTCTGTCTTTTGTATTCGGTAAATTTATTGACCCACATTTTTTTTTTTAAACTAAATGTTGATAAGACTCAAATGTGCTTTTTCCATGAAAGTGGTGGGCGGGGGCAAAAGACCCTTCGATTTCAAAATTCCCCATTAATTGGCTTTGTGTTTCATTAACTACACAGTGAAATATTTAATTTGTATTAAACTGCAAAAAAGTGAATATTTTACTTAAAAAAAAAATTATCAATTGCCCTAATCTGTACAATTTTGTTGCGGTTTGGTGGAATCGTATCTCCAAAACCATTGCTTTTTAAGGAAATTTCATAAATGTCGAGTTGCAAAAGAGGGTAAGCTATTTTCAAGAATTTACATGTTTAACCAATCTAAAGCGAATTCAAATTTGTTTCAAAATTAATTGCTAAAACCAAAATCCAATTCAAAACTGTGGTACTGAGTTCTAGATAATAGTCCAGGCACCATAGGACTTGAGCGGATATTTTAATGGCTCAAATAGTGTAGTGATTTGTAAGCATAAAGTTGCTAGATCAAGTAGTGTCTCATTTTCAGAGCGACGTGGTTTCGCACATTTAGTGAACATGCCAAAAGCTTTGACAAGGACTTCGATGATTTGTAAAAATAGACTGACCAATAGTAGTAATTTGCGAAAAAGGTGAAATTGACCAAATTTGGACCTAGGGATTGGCCCTACAGCAAGAACATGAATTTGGTTCAATGTTAACTGTAGTATATTTTTCTCCCATAATCATTGAAATGCACCTGAAAATGGCATAAATTAGCTTAAAAAAGATTCAGTGGCATCAAATCATTCCACAGTCTTGACTGTATGATTAGATCTTTATTCGTCCAGAGAGAAGGCTGGTATGTGAGTGAACAAAAAAAAAAACAATGCACACCTAAAATCAAAGCTCTCCCAGGTCAAGAAAAAAAAATCTTTAAATAATAAACAGCATTCAGAATGTACCAGACAAGCAGTGACCGTCAGGGCAGAGGAGTTCTGCTTGCTTGGCGGACAAACGGGAAACAGTCACCCTCCTTATCTTTGGATTCCGAACCGGAAGAGGGGAATGGATGCGTGTGGTGGGATACGGATGCTACAGTAGAGCCCTTACCTCCTTTCCCCCCTTCTCTCGGCCGTGACATCACAACAAAAAAGGTAGCTCATCCCACCGTGGCATGAAAACAACAAAAAAAGAGGTTGGGTTATGAAAATGACTCATCACATGAGCACGGTGTCCTCTGCAGTGCATTTACAGTACAAGGAAGGAGGGCGAAAAGACTGCTTTTTAGACTTTCTAAAAATATATACAGAGTAAATTATGAGCTGTGTGTCTTATCTATGCATCACACAGCCTCTAAAGGCAGCTGCTTATTTGGTTAAACGGGCGATTGATAGCTATTCAGGACGCCTTGAAAGGGAGCAGATATATATATTTTATATCTTTATATACGTTTCTCTTTTTACAACTTTACTTCCCTGAGGATTTCCCACAGGCGCTCGCGCGTTAAATATCCCAAACATTTACAACCGAGGAGGTTTCAGCTCTGAATCATAAAAAATACATTTCTCCCCCCCAAAAATACTCTACTTTTCATCTCTTTTGAGCATGCTTTTTTTTTTTTTTTTTTTTGCTCATGAACATGTCGATTTGCGTGCAAGGTAGAAAATAAAAACCCCAAACTGCAAAAAAGCACAAAATAAAAACAAAATCTATCATCCTACCGCTGTGCCAGGCACGCTGACGTGTGTGACTTATTGCAAACAGAATCTTGCATGTTTTTTTTTTTGTTTTTTTTTGGGGGTGGGGGTGGTGGGAAGATACACTCCTCAAAAAAAGGTTGAGATGTCGGACTTTGGGCTGAAATTTCGGGTTGAACCTAAAATGCTGTAGAACCTTTACAGGTAGACTTAATTCAACTGCTTATCAATGTTTCACGACTACTTACATCTTTTTGTTCGCCCAACAAGGTGGTGGCCACCAACATTCCTCAGTGTTCAATCCATGAAAATTTCCAAGGATTTCACTTCTGCCTTTCTATGACTCATCCAGTATCTCTGATGATGACACCGTGATAGTCCAGATTCAGTAGTCATTTTCCTTTGAGAATATCCTATCTTGAAGCCACCGCCGACGGGAGATTGTCAAAGGAAAGTGGCTACTGAGCTTATAGTGCCACTATTTTGAGACAGAGGTACTGGAAGACTCACAGAAAGGCAAATAAATTATCCTTGCACATATATTGGTTCAATACGGATTATAGTGGATTTTAGGGTCATCCAGAAATTGTACCTGAAAGCCCAATATTCGCAACTTTTGTCAAGGAATGTCTTAGCTCCAAGCGTCCATCTGGCCTGGAGAAGAAGACGGTGTCTCTTATTCCCGCACATCCTTTTGTAGCCCTTTTGTGCGCCGAGTCTCTCTCTGATTCTGCTCACGGTGCTCCTACGCCCGAAGTCTGCGCCCGACTCAGCGCTTCTCGGATTTGCAGGTTGAGCTCCATGAGGCGTCCGCTGGCCTGGGAGAGGTCCCGGCTGGGGCCCACCACAGCCAGGCAGCCCGTTTGGCCCAGCGTTTGGTGGCGGAAGTAGATGTGCAGCAGCGTCTGCACGGCGTCCTCGCCGTCGCTGCCGAAAATGTCGTTAGGCCACAGAGACCTGCCGCATGGACACAGGATACAGGCATGCCTGATTTTAGAGAGGTGCGCCTTCACTGTAATACCACATTGTGCCACAACATACGAGGCAGCAAAGAGCACTACTGAAGGATGTGCAGTGTAATAGATGAAGAGGCAGAAAGGCTCGCCGAGTAAACTCCAGAAATAGATGTTCTGTTTGTATGTGTTGTCGCTTTGAGCGTGCAAATTCAAAAATGCAATTTATGGATTAAAACAACGACAAAGCGAGGACTTTCAGTCTTCATCTTCATGCTAATGCTAAATAGGATCTATGTTGCAGTGCTGTAAGTAACCCTTTGAATGACGACCGAACACGATGACACAGAAACAATGTGGAGTCAGACAATATGGGAAAAATAAGTTCATATGTACAGAAATTTTCATGATAAATTTCTGTCGATTTCGGGCGTAGCAAAGAAACGTGCACCGCACAAGGCGGCATGCACGTAGCATGCTTCACGCAGGCTGGGCTGCAAGATGGAGCGAGCTGGCCAAGACTGTTCATACACGGTGGTGCTCCTGTCTTTCTTATACCACCCCCTGGTGGCCAAATCGAGAACACCAGAATTAGCTGAATTTAATTGATACAGTGTGACAAAAACTTGTTTGTATTGATCCCGGAGTTGAAGGTAAGAGTTCAAACTTCATTTAATAAATGAAATGTAATTTTCTGAAAACATGGATGGAACTCCATGGATTTCATAAGCTACCTGAAGACTTTGACTTGGGTGAGGGCCGAACAGAAGTCTCGCGCTCTCAGAGTCTCGACCAGTGACTGGATGGCGGTCTCCGTGTCAGCGTGGGCGGCGTCCGGCATGCACACGTCCTCTTGGCTGTCATTTCCCCTCTCGGCCGCCTTCAGGCAGCTCTCCAGGGCGCTGAGCTCGTCCGACATGTTGGTCACCTAAGCGACGGGAGATGGAAGACAGATGGGAATGGCTTGAGTGCATGCGTCGCATAGAAGAAGGGAGCGGAGGGGATAGCGGCGGGGAGGAGGCAGCAAAATACACATCTTGATTGAATTTGAACGCTAACGGCAGCTGACCCCATCAATCCCCAGAAGAAATCATTCAATTTCATTCAGTAGTGTAATCCACTTAACGGTGCATTAAGATGCAGCCTGGATAGAGAAGCAGCAGAGCCGTGCTTCAAGTCAACAACCGTCCTGCACCGTTTCCTTCAAGCAGTACACTTCCATTAACAAGGCAGTTTTTTTTTTTTTTTTGTGGAGCTTTTCCACTGTCGGATTTTGGGATGGGTGCCAAAAACATTTGTACTATGGTGGAGACAGTATGCACCATAAAAACACACACACACACACACACAAAAAAAAGAAAAGATGCTGTTAGATTGGGGACGTATAACACCAAGAGTCTTTTTTTTTTTTTTGTGGGGGGCGATAAACGCATCGGGCTTTCCTATGGTTCTATCTCACCTCGGCTTCCCTCTTGATGGTGTCCACTCTGCTGATGAGCTTGCAGTAGGCCTGGAAGAGCAGCAGCAGCTGAAAGTGCAGCTTGTACAGGCGGCGACACAGCTCGAGCTCCTGAGGGTACACAAAAACGGGAAAGGCGGAGAGGTGAGGAAGATGGAGAAAATGTCAAAGGATACGGCCAGGTGGGGTGAAATGGTTCACGAAGCCCCGAGCAAAGCCCCATCCAGGTGTCGGGCGTTGAGAGTCTATTGCTAGCGGAATTAGTCGATTAAAAAAGGATCCGTCTCGGGGCGGCTGTCGGGATGAGCGAGTCGATGATGTCGCTAATTACAGAGGGTCCTCAGTTTGGGATAGTGCCAATGTCCCAGGTTAAAAATGGCACACAATTAATTAGCTTGTGCCGCGGTCTAAGGATACGCGGGTGGCACAAGAAGTACACTCAACTTGCCACCTCCATATTTCCAAGTGTTTTTCAAATATGCAATGTATTTATGAATTTTCCTTAGGTAGTTACTGCACATTCTGACTTTGATACAATTTCAGGTTACATCGCCGGTGTGGGAACCGAGTTCAGATGGTGTCAAAACGGAACACCTCAAAAAAAATAAAAATAAATAAATTACTTATATTTACGAAGAGCTTTGACAAACACAGCCAAAAATGTTTAGAATCTGTCAAAATTTGGATAAAAATTGGACTTAAAAAACAGTACATATACAATAGGATAAAAATATCTTTTCTGCCATTAAAAAAAAAAAAATCTGGCACAAACTAACAAATCAATGAACAAAACAAAATGTACAAAAAAAATGAGAACAAGAAGAGAACTTTGCCAAAAAGCAGGCAAAAACTGACCAAAACTGATACAAATCTAATAAAAATGCAACCAAAACAAAAATGAGTTCACATAAAGCTGGCAAAAAAAAAAAGTATGACAAATACAAATATGAAAAAATGACAAAAATATGCCAAAACTTGGACAGAAATTAAATACAAACTGTCAAAAAGAGATAAAAATCACACAAAAATATAACAAAACCTAGACAGAATTCAGACATCAACAGATACAAACTGGAGAAATTATTAGGAAAAAACTGCCAAAAACAGGGGAAAGAGTGACACAAACTTACAAAAAAAGGAAAAGGATCATTAGAAAAGTGGACAAAAAAAATGGACAAAATCAGGCACAAACTGACAAAAAAAAGATTCAAATTTGACAGAGCAACTAAAACAGACACAAATCAGACAAAAAAATGACAAAGTCTAAAAATAAAGTGACAACTGAGAAAACTTCTGTCAAAAAAGGCTGATACCCTTATGGCAAAAATCATGTTCAGAATAAAAAATTGACAAAACTCAGGCAAAAAGCTGACAAATTGCGGCAAGAAAAGTAACAACCTGGCAAAAAAACTACCCTGACAAGAGGTCACTCAACGGTGCCTTCCCTACTTAGAAAATTACTCTTTCTGTATGTCGCCGCAACAGGAATGGAACACTGTCACCAACTGAGGACCCGCTGTGCTCCTCTGGGAGGGTATGTCATTCATTTGAAAAGGGGATGGAGCAACAAACATGCAAAATTAAAACAACAAAAGAATGCCCCGCCCCCAATCCCCTTCTTTTCCGGCATCACATGTCCTCCATCGGGATGCAAGGCAACACAAATGATTTTTCTGCCATTCGGGGATAACGCTAAGATTGGATGAGGGCGTTCCATGTTACGTGGCCAATCAAGGCAGAGGTACGAGAGGGTGCGGATGAGGATGTTTGGTGTTGTCTATTAAAACAGGAGTACCACTTACTGCCAGACTCTCCATGTGCTAAGCAAGAAGAAGGTGACAAGGAGAAGGAGAGAAAGAAAAGAATTAGACGGAATTCACACGCCATTTAAGGGGGGGGGAAAGAACTGTGTAAACGATGTGTGGTTGACAAGATTTTATATTGAAGGAAACATCGGCGTTGCCGTTTCCCACTGTAGGTTAGCATAACGCTGGCGGACGTGTTAGCTTCACGCTAATGTAAATGAACAATTATGACGTCAACATCATGAAGCGAGACCAATTGGTCTGTCTTTTGGAAAACTAACTAGTTGCCAAACTAAACACAGTACCTTGATGGAGGGCAAACTGTAAAAAAAATAAAATAAAATACCCAAGTGCAAAGAGTGTAAAGGAACAAAAGTGAAAATACCACGAGTGTGTCACAACAAACAACATTACCGTATTTCTCAGCAGAGTGTCTGCGCTTCGAAAAAGGTCGTTAAAAAGTTAACTTCAACATGGAGGCCTTTGAAGAATTTATGAACAGTAAACATAATTGGGGAAAGTTAAAAATAATAATATTAATCCACAACGACGTGACGCTCCTTTGATGGGAAAAGTTTCAGAATAAAATAAAATCTGCCAAACATGACAAAAAAACGAACGAAAATCTTACAAAAATGTGAGAAAATTAGACAAAAAATGAAAAAAAGGCATCAAACTAACTACAAACAAACAAAAAAAATCCATCAATCTCCACTGCAAAAAAATGGCGCTAAGTTTTTGCGGGAGTTCAAGAGAAGCTACTAATAGACAAGAATGTGACGCATTTGGGATCAAGAAAATCTGCCAAAAAGCCTCAATGTGGGTGGTACCGGGAGTTGCAGTTTAAAGTCTGAACTTGGGGTGAGGTGTTTGTTTACTCAACTGCAGAAGGCGGCTCGGCCTACCTGTGCTTGAGTGTTGAGCCGCTGGCAGATCTGTTTGTCCCCGAAGGTTTTCCTGCAGTTCTCCAGCCACTAGAAACGGAGGAAGATGGAAAAAAAGATGTTGGCGACGGTGGACTTTGAAGTCCTGCGTACGTCAGAACGGCTGCTCAGCCAGCAGATTCGATAAGAGTGTTGTACTTAGCGTATTAAAACAAAGCAGCCTGTTCAAGACAACGGGGTGGGGTGCGGCTGCGTAATATCTGACCCTGCGGGGAGCGCGTGGTTTTCTCATTCAATTAGCGGCCACGCATGCCATCCTTGCAATCTCATCTCCTGAGCGCCTCCCCCCTCACCGAATCCTCCCGCCCATCACGTTCTAACTGATTTAGGAGAACCGGGGGTTGTTTTTAGCCCCTGACCGCCGCTGATGTCATGTGCGTGCTGACGCATTCGTGAGGCAAGTCAAGGCCCATTGCGACGTAGGATTTGGACAGCGAATCCCCCATCCCCCACTAATGACAATTTTTGAAAAGGGCAGAAACATACACTGGGCAGGTGTATCCACAAGTGCAGCTCTAAGTTTAAAAAATGACACCTTCCCAACACTGCCGCCACCAAAAGTACACCACTTACAAGTTCCGCCGCCTCCCTCTTGGCGTTGTAAGTGTCCAGGTGCTCCTGAAGCTCCAGCACGCTAAACTTGAGCGTCTCCAGCAGTCCGCACGAGACCAGCTAGGACAGCGAGAGACACATGAACACCCGACCTGAGTACGCCGCGGGAGAAAAAGCAGCTCGGGCGGCGGCGGTCTCACAGTCTCGGCATCCAGCAGCACGGTGGGGCACTGCGAGTGCGACGTCATGACCTCCAGGGAGCTGAGGAATTGATTGCCCATACGCTGGAGCTTCTCACCGAGGAAGTGGACAGACGCGTGCGTGATGGCGCCGAATTTCCTCTGAATGCTCTGGAAAGGAGGAGAACGACATATTAAGTAAAGCTATAGTCTCATTGATTGCGTTTGTTAAAAATACACGTGAAGAGGACCTTGAAAAAAATAAATTGTGTATTAAATCAATAACTGAGGGAAGAAAAAAAAAAGAACAATTACTATTAGATTCTTCTTCAAAATCGTTCAAAACCAACTAGCTCGCCCGCCTGCTGTACCTGAAAGAGTTGCGAGAAGACGTGGAAGGTGTAGACGGCGGACGACCCATCGACGTCCGACAGCATCTGGTTGACGTGGCAGCGCCAGGCATCCTCCTCATCGTCATAGGCGACGGGCTGGAATGCCGCCAGGATGGCCGACAGGAAGGGCGACGGGGGTGGCGAGGCCTGGGTCTCGGGGAAGCAGTCGGCGTCACCTTCATCTTGGCTGCAACCACCCAAATAAAGATAAGTGGAATGGAAAACACACTGTTAGGTCCATCATTATTATTCATCCACAGCAAATAATGTCACATTAGTGTGCCGTGGGAAATGATCACATTTCACTTAATTGGCCATTTTTCATTTATAACAAATAATGTATCTTTGGCCAAGGATGCCAATGATTTATACAGACAGTCAGAACGTAACATATGTTACAACTTAAAGGGTTGTAACACCTTGACCGATGCTACTTGTTAGCCCGTCTTTGGCGTTTTGCATCGTGCGTTAGCATTAAGCTAGCAGAAGGCAAACGTCTATGGTTATTTTAAATACACAACGTGTAATATTTGTTGTTTTGTTTTGTTTGACAGACAACCTAAGCTGGTAGTGTCAATAAAGAGCTTAAAGAATCTTTTTTTGACAAATTGTTCACTATCCTTCAAACCGCTGCTTGTTGTCAAGTGAGTTGAGTGGAGACCAAAAAGAAATTAAAAAAAAAAAAAAAAAAAATCCAAAAGTCGGGTCTCTCGTTTCTCAAGGTACCACCGTAGGAGAAAATGAATTTACGAGTTAAGTAAGCACACAACTGAAGGCACCGCAGTATAGTGAGTATTTCTTGTGCCATTACTTAGATTCTCTCTCAAGCCAAATAAGTGCCTTGGCTCAATAAATGTTGCTGAACCCCGACGTAAACAAACGCTGGCCCACATGATGGATTTGCTGCAGTGCCGGAGCACAACAACATGAGCTATTAGCCACTTAGCATCACGCATTGCTCTCCCCCTCTCGCTCTGTTTCTCTCTCTCTGGCATACACACAACCACATACGCACACACACACACATATATATGTATAAATATATATATACTGTATACAGTACTCACAGGCCCGTGGGACCAAAGAGCCTGAAGAAGCAGACGGAATACAAGTATTTAAAGCCGGCACTGCCGAGCACCGCTGCTGACACCGTCTATATGTATAACCCCGCTCCCTCGCTCTCTCCCTCGCTCTCTCCCTCGCTCTTCTCTCTCTGTCTCGTAGCACTAGCGCAGTGCAGACAGCCTCCACATATTCGCTGGGTGCAACTTGCGGCCTCACAGCAGCGAGGGTGGGGGGGGGGCTGATGGCGACGGGGGTAATTTAAACAGTCAGGCATAAATCCTCACAGATGGCTGTATGCTCAACTGTTCAGTGCCCCGGCTGTCAGTGCACAATCACTCAGAGTGCCCACACCTCTGCCTCCCCCGCCCCCCAAACTCGACCGAGCGTTTTAATGACAGATGCCTCATGACGTGGACAGGCCACCAAGAGCTGTGCCTTGCTCCTTCCTGTTGTTGCCCCAACTGGCATAAATTCCCAAACGGGTGATTGTCTTCAATCTGTAATTGGCCCACCTTGATGAGGAGGCCTTCGTCATTCACACACACCTGAATGGGAGCCAGGCCGGAGGAAAGATTCACTGTCACGCCAAAGTGTTCGACACAGAGGCTGGGCCAAAACAATGACAGTAAAAGCATCGGAACCTCAACTACAGCCAATGACGTAAAAAAAGTGTTTTCTTGTATTTGACATGAGAGAACTATGACGGCGAACCACGACTAACAAAAATGGTGCTATAAGTGCATACTGTGGTACTTTTTCTTACAAGCTAAATTTGTTCTGTGACTAAATTCATAAGTCCTGACAAGGGCCTTGAACAATATGGATTTTTTTTTTCAGGCAGGTGCAGATTCCGATATTTGGCAGACTAAAATTCTGAAAACTGATTAATTGATGAATTAAAAAAATATATGTAATGAATAAAAGGACTTACTTTTTATGCACTTCATGCTTACAACAAAGACAACACGCGGTGACTCATGTTATCCGTTAGCCCATCAATGGCAATTTCCATTCAGGCTTAGCATTAAGCTAGCAGAGGCATTCTAAAAATGGTTTGGTTGCTTTCAAGACAAAGCGTGTAATTCTATTTATTTTATGTGTAGTTTGACAGTGAACCTAAACTGGAAGTAGCATTAAACACCATGAAGCCTCTTTTAAAAAAAACTCTATGTAGCCCTTGGAAGAACAAGTTTAGAAGCCCCTCTGCTACACCAAGATATTTCTGCATGTGTCGCTCAGTGGAAAACCATGCGAAGTCAAAATCTCAAATCCCAACGCACTCACCTCGACATGCCGGAGTAGTCGGCCTCCTCCTCCTCACAGCGCTCGTCCAGTACCTTCAGGGCCTGAGTCACATCTTCCTCCCACATGGAGCCACAGATGCTGCCCGGATCCGGGTCTGGGTCTAGGTCTGGCTCCGGCTTTGTCTCCACTTCCGCCGGTGTGTACGGAGGCAGGACTGTTTGGGGTCCCTCCTCACAGAGGGACCCCGGCGGAGTGTCTATGGCCGGTGGCGGAGGGGGGGCCGGGTCCAGGTCCTCCTGAGGCTCCGGGGTCTCCCGTGGGTCAGGGAGCTCGCACAGGTCCGGGCGATCGGGGGGGAGAGGGGGGGCACTGCCGAAACCCGTGTCCTCGCTGACGCTGCTGCTCAGCTCGTCGGCCGCTGTCGTCATGCCGACGCCATCCTGCAACGTCAGCGCATCGTACATCACCGGGGAGGGGTCAGCAGACTCTAGACATTCATTAAGGCCTTTACTTAAGAAACTGCATCATCTCAATGATCCAAGGGGGACATCAAAGTAACCATTTTTACTTAACTTCGTACGCTAACCTCTCCCTCGGGAAACCCAAGAAAACGAGAAGGGATCAATAAACAGAAGGCAATATTAATCTATCACGGAGAACGGCACTCGAAATTGCACCCTGGTGCCGATAAAGCACATGAGGAAACGACCCCGGGGGAAAAAAAAGACATGAATGACATACTTTGAGTGATATTTTCAGCACTTCATAACGTTACCGAGTGTGCCGCAGTCCATCCCAGCTAAATGGGAGAGAGAAAATTGGTAATTCCTGGAGTGATTGCCTCCTGGAATAATAGTAAAAACTAGTTATTCTTGAAAAAATGATGACTGGCTAAAAGAAAACTTTCATTCTGTCTTGAGCTTACTGGTATTCTGCACTAACGGTGGAAAAACGATGAAAGAAAAATCTCAGTATAAAGTCAGATGTGATTTCGAAAGCTGCTACACACAGTGACATCGCAAAAAGTGAAACACAATAATGCCCCCTGAACCTAATAATGGGTTGTGCCACCTTTGGCAGCAATAACAAAAATCAAGCGTTTGCGATAATTGGTGATGAGTCTTTCACATCGCTTTGGAGGAATTTTGGCCCACTCTTCTTGCCAATTACTTTTTCACATCGGGACAGGTAGTTTTGGATTGTTTTAACCTGGAGTACGGTGCATACAGTTTTCACAATCTGTAGAAAAACAATAACAATTTGTAAAGTGGCTGGAGTACCTGTTGAAAACACACGCAAGCACAAGTGAGAACATGCAAGCTCCGCACAGGATGGCCGGATCCTAGAATCGAACCTCACCCTCAGATCTATGAAGCAGACATGCTAACCACTAGCCCACTGTGCTACCCTGACTTACTGTATGATGGGTGATAAAGCAACAACATATTTACATTCCATAGCCGTGACATGCAAACAAATTTCGTAACGATGGCAAATGATTCCAGACAATCAAATGAAAGCACTTGTTTTTAATTTTTTTTTTTTTGGGCGTCCCATTAAAAGTCTAATGCATTTAGCTCGGCCAGTGTGGCAGACGGCCAGTACATCACGAGGGAGCAACGGGCCGCTATATTACAGAAAGCTTTTAGAAAGTGGCCGTCCTGCAAGGGAATGAGCCAGAGTATTGATGGGTTTTTATCCGTGGGGCTCATTACACTAAGAGCTGCGGCTGTGATGTCCTTGGGATGACATCGAAAGCTTTGGCTCCATTGGGGAAAGACAAAAAAAGTTGTGAGAGCGTCCGGGAATACCCGCTCTCGTCATTCATTTATGTTCATTTATGTGCAGGAAAGGTGATTTCTCCGAGTGATAGATACATACGGTTCACATCGTGGCCATTTTTGTCCAATTGGAAATGGATGAAAATAACATTTTTAATTCTGTTATTATTCACTGAAATGAATCACACTTTTTTTTTAGGTTTGATTCTAGATTCAAGCTTAGAAAAGTTTGGTTTCATGTTCGTTTTCAACCAAATGTGATTTATCAATTTTCGGACAAGGGAGCAATTTCCTATAATTTCCGAAAGAGCCGTTTCATTGCTTACTGCATGCACTTCAATGTAGCAAATGAATGACACAATTTTGATTTTCAGCTCTGTTGAGAGTAAATAATGACATTGTCATTGAAGATGTGGTTGCTCCCTCTGCTGGCTGCAGAAAGGCTGTAATACTAGCAATACTGAAAATACACTAAAAAAATATATATTTTTAGGCTGTTTTACAACCTGTGTATTGTGCAAACAAAGTGTATTTTGAAGGGTTTAAAATAAAAATGTATGTATGTTTTGTACTAACGGCAAGCACTGATAAGTTAAAAAGCTTAATCAGTAACCAAAAAAACGTGCTGAAAAGGATTTAAAAAAAATCAAACAAAAATGTTAAGAAATTTTATATATAATAATATTGAGTATCAAGTGTATTGTGATTGTTGACCTTTGGATTATTTTGACAAAAAAATAATAAAGTCTAATTTTATCATTCAAATATAATGACTTAGATAAACTTTTATTTTTTCTCAACTTCATAAGACGTGGCCAAACTGTCTCTTTTTAAAAACCAAATTAAGAAAATGTTTTCTTGAGCACAAGCAACTAATCTGACTTGACGAATTTTGCCCTGTGAGCGCGGTCAAGACGATGCAAGAAAGGTCAGAGCAGAACACAAGATATATGCATACATGGAGGCGTCATAGTTAGTACATGTGACAATTTTCAAGTGGGGCAGCAGTGAATGCCAGTGAGTGTGTTTCGTTAGCAAGTGAGTGGACTCAAGCCCACGTGTCATACTCACACATGCGTTCCGTGGCGGTTACGGCGGCGGTGTCCAGTTCACAAGTGTTTAAATGGGGCCGGGTGAGGGATTTCTTTCTTTTTATTTTGTGATTATTGGAGGTGAGCAGTTACAGCTGACCTGAGGTGAGTCTTTTTTTTCTTGCATCTCTCCCCCAAATCAAATGCCGAAGCCCCACCACACTCATTATCACCCAGAAAGGGGAAAAAAAAACAGAATAAGGAGAGCAAGCAGTACCCACAAACGCCGCCAGAAAGAAGAAGAAAAGCGTAGAAGACAGTAAAAGCTGAAATAAGTGAGCAGCCAAGCACCATCCCGACCAGAGCCGTCATGATTGAGAAGAGTTCAAGTGAAGGGTTGAAAGAAAAAAAAAGGCAAACTAGAAGGCCCCCCAAGAGCACCACAATTTGTCATTGCTCCCCACTGATCGCACCTCAGGCAGCTGGCTGCTGGTGCTGTCTGAGCGGGCCGTCTCCAGCACGGGGCTATCCGGCCGTGGGAAGGGGGCCGGAGGGCGGAGGGGCGCCAGGGCCGAGGCCTCCTCAAGTGGGCCGCCGCCCGACGACTCCTGCGACTGCTGCAGAGAGTCCACGTGGTTGGACGCCATGTCGTCCGTGGCCGAGTCGCTGTTGAGCTGGGGAGAAAGGTGGAGACATTTTCAGGGAGGGTAAGCCGCTATAGTCGGAACACGGGGATTGTGGACCAAAGTACTGGGACGTGAGGCCTTTTCAACCACAGGAAGGAGAAATGGAAAGAAGTTTTAGCTCTTCTGAGATTTTGATTTTTTAAAATTAATTTTGCTTTTCTATTTTATTTAATCATTTGAATAAACAAACTTTTTTTTTAAATCAATTATCTCATTCAGGAATTAAATGGATTTATTGTACAAACTATAACAGAAATTACTTGTATTATTACAAAATATTTACATTTCTTACATTGGTTAAAAAAAACTACTGAAAAATAATTCATCATCTTTCAAATAAACAATTTTACATATTTTAGGTACAGATTAAAAATGTATTTTAATTGCTTCATGAATCACTTAAATCTTAAATATTCCAGTTTAAAAATGTGACACTATTATAAGAAAATGAACTACGCACATATTTTATAATATTTAAGTTATACAATGTTAAGAAAAATAATGCCATTGAAAAATAATGTAGTGTAATGTCATTTATATATATATGTTATTGAATAAATTGTAAAATATACAATTAAAAATGAAATTGATTTAGAATAAACCATACTCATTTGCCAATCATGAAATGATGAGATGTAAAAATGATAAGGAATTGCCATTCTGTTACCAAAATAAACAATTATGATCAATTTCAATGTTTCAAAAAAATAAGATTAGTTCATGATCGATAATTAAGTAAGTACAACACAAGTGACGATATACATCTCAATCACTTCAGGGCACCACAGTATTTTTAATCAGAAAGGAAATTTACTTCTACAATTATTACGATGATTATTTTTTTTAAATGTTAATGTTTTCAATTGCTTAATGTTTAATTGTTTTAATTTCACACTGTTTCAGCTCGGGTTTCTTTTTCCAAGTGATACATTCTTAATGTGCAAAAACTAACACTTTCACGCATGAATTATGATCAGCTATAGCAGGATTTTTTTTTTCTTTTTAAAGATTCGTTCATGGACGAGAAAGCAACTTTTGACTAGCTGAAAAGGGTAATGTTTTGTCATTATATTTTTAAGATCTCCTCGGGCTACCACGCCTCACTTACCGGCCAGAAAGGGGGGCAACAGAGAGTTTTAAAGAGGGGCGAGCTACAACCACAGCAGCAGAGGTTCATAGAAGGGGGACCACCAGCCAAGAAGCAAGCAGCAAGCCCCTCGCGTCCACACAGATCCAGCTCAACACACACTCTCAAGCACATACGCAGGTGTGAGGAGCATGGCAAGTTGGGGGATGAGACGGCAAAGGGGGGTGTGGGGGGTTTGTTCTTATGGACCCTGATTGGAGTGCGACTTACGCGGCCAGAGCGGCTGAGAATCTGGCTAGCGCTCAGTACCTCCTCCTCGGACGACTCGTCCGTGTCCTCGTGGTTGGTGAGGTTGAGGCTGGGCGTGCTGCTGGCATACTGGCACTCCTGCAGAGACGGCGTGTCCCCCTTGTCCATGCTCTCCAGGGACCGCCGCCGGACACCCCAATTGAAGTTGTCCATGCTTTCCCCCTGCGGGACGTCCGCGAGCACAACAGTGAGACCGAGCGGAAAATAGGAAGCTGGCTATACAAATGCATGACACTTACACACACACACACACACACACACACACACTGCGTTTCACTATGACACAAACACGCGAGAAACTAACAAAATCAAGATGAAATGAAGCATAAATGTGATTTTAGACCAAAACATAGACACAGGTACACCATACGGAGTGCAAAATCCACCTAAAGCAGGGTACACACATACAGATAACGGAGCCCATTTTCTGATTTTGCGAATTTTTTCGATCAAAGGCAGCGAAGATCTGATTATTGCATCTCGAAAAGATTATCCTAAGGAATGATCCTGTGCTCCCTGTGGTGTGTTAAGAGTGATTTTCGGGGCTGGCAGTTTGACCATTTGCAATGGCTTGTGTGTGAGGTCCATGCCAAGTTAGGCCAAGGCACACGCGCCATTACGGAGACGTCAAACAGAATAATAGCCCATTAGATTGCTGTTGCCAGACACAAACTGAATTTTTGTACAACGCGTCAACAAGTCATTCAGCGCAATAAAAAGACAAGGAGAAGAGTTTCCCCACTGCAATGGAGTCGCCCCTTAGCCAAACAGTTAGCTTAGATGGTTCCATTTTTTTCTTCTAGTTCGACTCTCTTCTTCTTTGTAATTTCCATCAGGTTGGATGCCCCGTGTCACTGTACTGCCTCTCAGAGGTCAGTCGTGGTAGTACGTCATACAAGATTACATGCGGGTGTTCGTCATGGCAAGAGAATTTGTGAGCTACGGCAAATTTCAAGATTTCATTTTAATGTTAAATTGGAGTACATGTGCACCCCGCTTAAGCTGTTCACAGACTTACCTGCAACTCCTTGTGGCAAAAGAAGAGAAGGAACATGGGTGTTATAAAACACTCTGGACAACTACAATACATGGTAAGTACAAACATGGACACACTCTTCGTGTGGGATAAGCAGATTAATTGGACTGAGTCAACATGGAGGGAAATTGGATGAGACACATTCCCAGAAATCGATGTCAGGGAATTCCTAGTATGCCGGGGCTGAAATTGGGCATTGCATTGATTTGTGCAGAGCTTCTCACCTCTGCGTCCTCCAGCTCGATATCTAAGAAGTCAAAGTCCTTAAAGACGCCAAACTGCTGCTCGCTGCCCAGCTCCTCTGCCTGCGCCTCTTCCTCTTGTACCACTTCCTCCACGGTCGGGATCAGGCTGGTCTGCTGGTCGGCCGAGTCCAGGTCCTCGCTGGATGAGAAGACCACCTGTGTTGGTAGGTGAAAGGACACAGACAGAGTTGTACAGGATCCCAAAAACGGCATGTGAAATTGACCGAGATCTTGCTGGAAGGATGAGAGTAGGAGAGGAGTCTTACAGATGGATTTTTGGGAATGCCAGACTCCGGACCACACAGACAGAGAACATTCATGAGTCTCTCTCTGGTTCTTCTCTGTAAAGACAAAAAAACAGGAAAAATTTCAAATCCAGCGGCTCCAGGGAGGGGGAAAAATGTCCAGCTTTTTCATTCTTATACCTGAGAGAGTTGTGGCCTCTTCCAGCTAACCGGCACCAGTCCGTTGGAATTGGATCCGGAGGATGTGGAGGACGTACTCCTGGTGACGGCGTTCATCTGTGGTTTCCCGTTCCTGCCGGCCGCCGTGCGCTGATCGCCATACTTATGTCCAATGATGGGAGTCTAGAGAGGCACGAGTATCAGTGAGCCTCGCTTGCGTCTCCCCAAAAAACATTTGCCTTTAAATGCCACAAGATGGCGGCAAAGAACTACTTTTATATCAACTGAGACAAGGATTCCCCCCCCCTCCACCGAATAACAGAGGATAGGTTCGTGAGTGTTTCAGTAGAAAAGTGATGAGAATTGATAGCACAACAGCATCAGCCAACACATCATGCAACCTGTGGCCTGACTTTTTTTTCTCTTCTTCATTTCAGTATAGAACAGTGTGAGCACTTTAGCTGCATCGAAACAACAGAATAAAGACATTCACCTCTGAGATGTCAAAGTGGAAGTCCAGTGTCTTCCCGGGCAGCTCCTTGGAGGAGTTGTTGAATATGCGCGTGAAGGCGATTTCTGGCGAGCCGCACGACTCGCTGCTGTACGAGCGTTGCACGTCGTCGGGCACCACCAGGCTGGCTGAGCGGGACACCACTAGCTTCAGAATGTTCTGCGCCTCCTTCCAGTGTGGGCTCTGGAAAGAAAGACGAGAGAGGAGAAGCAGCTGAGGGCAGGTGAACTGAGTTTTGGGTGGAATTTAGGAATGCGAAGGAAAATATTTTCACCGGCCGCTGCGCCTGGCTCACATCGGTTAAAAAAGCAAATCAGTACATCAGTGGGATTAGACATAAAAGGGCGAAACTAGTATAGAATTAGCTCAAGGAGGTCATTTGAGTGCAACAGTTTTATAAAACTGTAAAACAGATGGAAATGTTACAAACAGGAAACCAAAAGTTTTTGGAGGGAAAATGTATGTAAAATCCAACCCCCAAAATAAAAGTAAAACAGGTGACAAAAAAAATTTAAAACATCTGGAAAAAATACTGGAAAAAATTAGGCACAATCAAACAAAAATGTGACAATAAATGGATAACAATACTGGCAAAAGGCTGTTGGACAGCTGATAAAAATTTATGACTATTGAATAAAAATAGAGGGAAAACAAAACGACAAAAATTCAGACAAAACTAACAAAATGGGAGAAAAAAAACAAAAATTGAAAAACTGAGAAAATTTTTAAATCAACTGCAGTATCTGACAAAAATGACAAAACTTGACAAAGAACTCAAAAATTATGACCAAAAAATCTACATTACAGCTTAAAAAAAAAAGCATCAAACTGCAATTACAAGTGAAACATATGATTACAATTATAATATAGTAATTGGACTGAGTTCTATTGTAATGTAATTGCTGTTCACAGTACGACTCGGTCCATATCCTCCTGTAAATCGCATACTGCAAAGACACTAAATGAGCATTGGTCACTTATGCCAAAAAGCGTTTTATTTCTGTGCAGTAGAGGCTGACCTGAACGTATTTGCCTATGATCTTCATTATCTCCAGGTTGAACTGCTTGACCGGGGCAGCCGAAAGGTCAATATGACTCAGCAGGCTGTAGATGATCTGCAGCAAGGACTGCTGCATGCCGGGAAGGCCCTTCTCCAGCAACTGGCAATACAACACTCTGTTAACCGCGAATGCACAGGGACACAGGTGGGTGGAGGCGTTTATCGGCGCACCTCAGCCAAGTAGGTGACCAGATTGAGGGTGATGTCAGCGAAGGCGTCGTGCACGTAGCGGCACACCACGTTGATCCAGTTGGCGCAGTCGCGTGAGTAGCTGTGCGTGCTGTACAGGCTCATCATGTGCGCCAAGTTGGAGAGCGTGGCCGACTTGTCGTCAGCGCACAGCTTGGCAATCTTGTCTGCTGTCTCCTTGCAGAATGACGTGGGACTGTCAAAGTGCTGGATGAGGTGCGGCAGCAGGCACAGGATGTTCAGTGGGAAGCCTGGGGGAGGGGGTAGAGGCATGACAAATACAAATTAAAACACAGGCTATAAGATCTTCCCCTAAAGTTGATAGACTGATCCATTTTTGTTCCCCTCTAATATAATGTAAAGTGGGCACAAAAGTACTGACAACTGGGCCAAATGGAAGAAATTCCACCCCTGTGAACAAATTCAGTAAAGACCCAAGTATCGGATGTCTCTCAAAGATTATCTTGGGCAATTATACTGTGATGTGTTTCATATGTAAATATATGCAATAAAAATACCGTTACACATATTTAGTGGTTTCATGGTTTTACGCCTACATTCGTATAGGTTAATGATAAACTAGGGTACCCTTCAGCATGAATAGGAAATAGGTTATTGAGACTACGGCATATTCCGACATGCAAATCGGGGTTATGTCAGAACAACTGACAAATGTGACAAATATCGGACAGCAAAAGAAAAAAACTGACCAAAACACAAAGAAATGAACATTGACACAATAAGAAAGAAAAAAAAAAAGAAAGAAAACAAAGCCTGGAAATCCGGACAATCTGAACATTAGAAAAACAAAAAGCAATTAAAAAATGGAAAAAAAAATATGAGGGGGTTGAAAAAAAGTGAAAAAAAAATGACAAAAAAGACTTGGACATAATTCAGGCAAAAACTGACATAACTGAAATAGAATACAGTACACAAAAAATCTGACCAAAAAAAAAAATCTTCAAAAACAGCTGACAAATAAGTAAATAAATAAATAAATAATGGATAAAACATCCCCCAGTGTCTGACAAAAAGATAATCAGGCAAAAAAGAATTCCAAAACAAAAATCATATTCAAAAACAGGGCGAACGGGGATTGGCTGTTTGTGATTGCTACGGAAGTGAGGATCAAGTCGACTTGCCTGCCAGTTGAGAGGGGTCAATAAGCGCGTGCCTGGAGACGCTAATGAGCTTGCTGAGCAGTTGGATGGTGAGGTCCTGCGTGGCCGTGGACGTGAAGCCCTTGAGGAAGAGCTGCAGCAGTCCCGGGAAGCTGTACCATTTCAGCTTGGCCTGGATCCTCTCAAGATGCTCCCTGTTGTCCTCCCGCTCCAGAGGCAGCTGGCCCAGCAGCTTGTTGAGCAGCCGCAGTGCCAGCAGGTACTCAAACTCGTAGTCCGACTCCAGCAACGAGGCGGCGATCCAGAACACCGTGGCCATGAGTTTGGTGGGGTCCACTGGGGGGTCAGCGTCACGACCCGGTCCGCCGCCGGAGCCCGGGTTCCCGCCGCCGCCACCCAGCGCTGATAAGCTGCGCGTTCGCGCTAGGTTACCATGGCTACCCCCGAGGCGGTCGGCCACATCCAGGGTGTTACTGCGCCGCCGGTCTGCCTTGCGCTCGCCCATCAGGCTGGCTCTCAGAGAGTTACTGCGGTTGTGCGCGCAGTTGAACAGCCCGCCGCTGCTCAGGTTCAGCTGGCCCGTGCTCTTCCTGTTGGCCGCAAACTTCGGCCCCAGCAGGTGATCACAGGAGGAAGTCCTGACCAAAGTCAAATGAACATAAGCGCTGAGAACATGAGCCCAGCATGAGTACACGGGAATTAGAGGACGTACTGTACTAAGGCAGTGAGGAGGTCATAGTTTTTGACTGTGTCCGCCAGTGTGTCGATGCCAGACTCCAGGGTGAGAAGAAGTTCGATGACAAAGCCCTGAAGAGACAAAAATAATTCACGACAAATATTTGAGCATTTAAGCCCATGTACAGCATTCAATAAGCAATACAATTTGGAGTCAGAAATTTTCTGTAGCTTTGCTGATGACAGTCTGTCTAAATGAAGTTCCTCTCCTCACTTAAACAGGTTCTTTGTACCAAAATGCCACCAGATGGCACTAAAGCAATACATTTATATTAGACATACCATTGGCCTGAACACAAAATAGGCCGGTTCCACTACAACAAGTCAGTAAGTACTTTCTTCTTTCCGAGCTTCAAGTCAAATAGGTCCTGACCTGAGCTTCCTCTCCAGGGTCCCCCACAGTCTCGACTAGTCTGGAGAGGATGTCGGACAAGGTGGCGGGCGTGAGCGGCTGCTTGAGCGCCCGGAATATCTGGAAGGAGCGGCCAGCATAGTGGCGAGAAGAGCACGAGAGCGCCGTCTGCAGGGCCACGTCGCTCAGCAGAGAGTCGAGCTGAAAACCTAAAGGGTGGAACACCCACCAAAAATAAAAGAAAACAATAAGTTGACCTTCGCGGCGAGTAAAAACCAGTACAGCAAATGACTGTTGATCGAAACGGATAAAGTAAAATGCTGTAGTATTCGTGATTTTTTTGTGTGTAAAGGATAAATAATAAATGAATGTTATTATTATATTGTCTGTGTGTGTGGTTTTGCTTAACTGTTCGTGTTCAAATATCTGTTGGGTTAAAACAAACATCAAAGCTAATTTCACTAGCCCTTTTATGGCTTTTTTCATCTTATGTTAGCATTAAGCTGGCACGTTTGTTTCATTCAATATAGTGGGGGGAACAATAGAACCGTCATATAATGGGGGAACACAAACGCTTATGATATGCCGTTTCATAGTTGTTATGTTAAGCGGAAATGAAAACACTGATCAACGCAATGGTTGAAAAATGATATTATGTGATATATGATATTAAAGTGTTCTAAGAATGTGTGACGTTACCTGGAGCCAATGTGTGAAAAGCATTAAAAACGATAACTGCTATAAACCCCAGATTTCTAGGATATTGCTGGGCAGACACTGTCTGGACAAAACGCACCAGGCTGGGAAAGATTGAATACGGTCATGACGTGTCGGACGAAGGCGCTCAGCTGCTCAGCGCTTTTGATGTTGGGATTCTTAGGTGACACATCCTCGTGGTTCCAGAGTGGTCCACGCTTCCTAACACACATACAAAGGAGGGATTTTTTTTGTTTACAATACGTAAATTAAAAAAATGATCCCAGGCTAAATTTAACTATCAAAGACTTCAAATATGGCAAAAAAAAACCCAGTTTAAAAAAATGACAAAACTTGTCAAAATACATAATCCAGCAAAAAAGTAATTAAAACAAACCCAAAAAATGGATACAAATCAGAAAGAAATGGGGTAAAAATTGACATAATCTGGCAAATAAAAATATTAAAGAACCTGATAAAATATGGACAAGCTTAGACAAAAAGTACCCCAAACAAATCTGACAAAAACATAAATATTTGACAAACCTGACAGAAATGAGCAAACGGCAACGGCACTCTGTGATAAACTGAGAACACACACCTGAAATTGATGAAAGGGGTGTTTCTCACCTGGAGGTGATGAACTCTATGAGCGCTTTGACCTTCTCGTCCTTCTCGGCCGTGGCGTCCACCTCGCTGAGGATGGACGGGGATGTGTGGGACAGGTGGGACAGGGACGAGCCGCCGGCACCCAGGCTGATGCTGGATGACGTCGAGCTGGAGCTCAGGCCCGAGTCCGTCACTGGCGACGGCTGACAGTCGGGCAGCAACTCTTGCATACCTGCAGCCACAACCACTCGTTACATACACCTCCACATGCACGCACGCACGCACACACTCCAGTGACATTTGTAGAGTAGAGACCTGTGAAGTGGAACTCAGGCGGGGGCGGCTTGACGGTGAGCACCCTGGGGTCGTTGAACTCCCTGTTGCGGAGGAGCACCATGGCCACGCCCTGAACGTTGCTGTTGGCGCCCTGCACGATGAGCAGGTGCAGGAGGAGGCGCTTGCAGTGCTCGTACACCTCTGGGTGCTGATGGTCAAACCCTAGCAGGGGACACGGGAAGGAGACGGCGGGTTTGTCGCCATTAGCGCCAAGCCAGACCTCGAGCGACATCGACAAGCGAGTTACCTATAAAAATGGCATGCAGCAAGAGATGTAAATAGGCACTCCACTCCACTTTGACGCCGTGGTCCACAATGAGGTCGGTTAGTAGGATGACGGCGATGTTACATCTGAAACACAACAGGAAGTCAACTTGAACATTCTGACTTTTTTTTTTTTTTTTACTTTGACCTCTACAGCACTGATCATAGGCCTGATAACATTTTTGTTTGCTTTAATGTTTTCCATTGTCACATTACTATGCATTTTTCTCGGCTTTGTTATATTTCTTGCATGATTTTTGTCAGTTTTTCACATATTTTGGCAACATAACCCGGATTTGTACCAAATTCATAACATGCCAATCTGTCACTTATCTCTTTACTATTTGTCAGGGGAGTAACAAAAAATGATTTGAATCGGAAAATCGGTTTTGATTTAAAAGATGCGGATGCATCGAATCAAATGGAACTGATCCACTTTGAAATATATCAAAATACGTGTCAAATCGAAATCCCACTTTTTGCCCAACTTGTCATGTTTTGTCATATTCTCGTCTTTTAGGCCATCTGGAATACAGCACACATTTATTGTGTATTTATTCCTCATGATGTGTGAGGTTACAAGTAAAGATGTTAATTTGTTAAAAAATCGGGAGAGGTGTACCCCGTCAAGAGGACGTCGTGCATGGTTAGATGCCTGGGTGCCGTACCTGTGCAATGCTGCAGCAGGGGTGTTGGTCTCTGGCAGGTAATCCACCAGTGGGGACCAGCAGCCGCCCGTTGGGGGGAAGGGGAGAGGCTCTGGGCGGTTGTGATCCATGACTTTCAAGCGCCAGTTGGCATAAAGTGGCATGGAGTCGCCTGGAAAAACAGATTGGTGAGCAGAGCATTTTAGCATTGAGGGCCGCGTGAGTTTGGGTGTACTTTTCTCTTCTTCGTAGGAGCCTCCTGAACTGCTGCTGTAACGAGACTCCAGGCGGTGGTGCTGGCGGTTCAGGTTGGTGTTCAGACCGCCGTAGATGTCCAGGTGCGTGTAACTGCAAAAACACAAACTTCACAACTGAAATTCCAATACTTGTGTTTCTGTAATTGTAACATGACAGTGGTGGCACTAAAAAGTGGAATCAAGTCAAGAAATGCACTAATGCAATACTAGCCACTGTGTAAAATGTACTTTTTAATGTCTTTGGGGTCCCTGCCCACAAATCAACAATAAAATTAAACCTGAAAAACCAAGTTTTTAGTTATCTGCCTATTTATAAAAATGGGACTAATTAACAGAATTTACCACCCACAGATTGAGCCATTCCATCTGAGAGCAATTAAAAAAAAAAAAATCAAACTATTTAAATCCATCATCAGAGAATACTTTGTACCTGTCCTCCATGTTAGAATCTTTGACCTTGCCATCATGATGACCGTCATGTCCTGGCACCATTGTGTTGCTGCTTGACGTCGTACCTAGGGACAACACAGACACAATGTGATGTGACGTGACCTGACCTGACCTGGCGTTACAATTTGTGCTAACTGCCAGAGGTCAAACACTCATGCCGCTAACCTGAGGCGACCGAAGGGATCTTGTAGCTGGAGCTGATGCGGTAGTAGGGCGGGTTGTCCATGTGAGCGACGGCCGAACTGACGGCATCCGTCAACTCCAGCTCGCTCATCAGCTCTTCCAATAGCTGCATAGTCTTGTCTCGGCCCAGGTACACCACCACTCGCTTCACCTGCAGACACGGGAGAGGGTCGAGTCTTGGGGGAGGGGGGAAACACGCCCGGATATATTGCAACGTGTAAAAATGAGACTCACGTAGGGCAGGAGGCTGGGCTCGCTGTTGACTCCGGACATGCTGATGAGGAAGTGCAGGATTATTTTGAGGTTCTTTGGCCAGCTGTCTGCTAAGGTGGTCCACACGTTCTCAATCTCCGACCAGGCAAACTCGTCCCCGTACTACAAATTAATTAATTAAGTCATGTCAGGGATGATCGGCACTGAATGGTCACCCCATCACAGATTTGTGAGTTTTTTGCTTGACAGTGTTCTTTTTTGCCAAATGTTTTGGGCATAATGTTCTGTCTGACTGTATTACCGAAAATAGATCTCAGTACAACTAACAAAATGAATATATCAAACTCTGCTAATTCAATTCCAATCTGAATCCAACAGAGTACATCAACTGACCCACCTTGGCCGTCATGAACATGAGGTTGTTGAGCACCATGGTGGTGGCCCGGGGCGAGCCCCATCCCTCCCCGTGTAGCCAGCGCCGGCTGTTGACCATCATATTGTCCCCATCCTGCGTGTCTTCTTCCTCCTCGCTGCTGCCGGCGTCCTCCGGGCGCCGTGTGGCAGGCTTGAAGTCTACCAGTTCCATGTTGTTCATCCAGGGCAGGAGGTAGTGCAACATCACCTGCCGACCGCCTGGGTGTGCTGTTAGGATGCGCTGGCTCACCTCTGCATACCCAAGGACAGAAAATGTTGAAAACAGCAGCACATATCTTAACTCTCTTGGACCCTTGAGCAGTCTGAAAAGTGTTGTAAAGCTCTTTCTTCCCTCATTCTATGAGAACCGATAAAAATGGTTGTTTTTTTTTAGACCAGGTGTTGCCACCGACCAGTACTTTGGGACCTGGAATGCACTTTTTTTTTGTCCTTTAGCAGAGCATATATCAGCCCCTCACAATCCATCAAGGCCATCATCAACAATCACCATGACAAAAAAAGGACCGGCACCCTAAGAGCAGTATTTGTCAGAGGTGGTCACCTGAGAATATGGGCAGTGTGAGCTCCGGGTATGTCCTGGCCAGCTCCTCGGATAGCTGGTAGTATGAGACGGAGTAGAGGTGTGGCAGAGGTGAGGGCGGCGTCAAGATGCCGTCTGATCGCAGGATCTCCAACTTATGGGCATAGCGGAAAAACTTGGGTTCCAGGATCTGTGCATGGGCAAAAAAATACAAATAAAATAATTTTATAAATATATTACAATTAATGTTTAAACATTTACATTGCTCCTCTGACAATGACAAGGTCTATTATCTTATATTTCTATTTAAAAAATTATTAAATTGAACATTTTGATCGTAAGACATACAGCGGTACAGAATGTAAAGAATTAAACAGTTTGTACATCAAGGTAATTCAACGAGCCCTGGAACAACTTTTAAAGGTTTATAATTGGCTAGTTCTGTTAGCCCGCCGATTCAGTTCTCCATCATGTGTTAGCATTAAGCTAGCACTCTCCGAAAACAAAGTTAATGTGGCTTGTTAAATACTAAATAATGTCATCCTCTTTCTTTTGTAAGGATTATTTATTTATTTATTTTACATTTTCTCACCTGTAACAGTTGCATGGCCACCTCGTATATTTCACGGGAGGAGTCGGCAGCCTTGAAAAGAATCAGGTTCAGGAGCACCACAGTGTCAAACTGATAATCCCTGCGACCAATGCAATAGAGTGTAAGAAACAAAGTGGAATTAGCAACAACAGCGGACCACGTGTAAAGGGTGGGATCGAGTTGTACCTGTTATGAAAGACGTTGGCGATGGCCCGGAAGCAGCCGGCGGCCACGCGGCGTGAGCCCGTGTAGCAGCGGTCCACAGCCCAGAACATCAGGTTGCTCTGGTCCGGGTTCAACTCCAGCAGCAGCATCACCGCCTCACAGCCCAACTGGTGAACCTGAAGGAGACCTTTTATTGTTTTTTTGCACAGGAAAGGATGCAAAGCATACACACTACTAAAAGGAGCCTCGTGAGATCAATCAGTTCAGTGTCAACAATGCAAACCCTCAGACCTTTTCCAGCCTGCAGTAACTAACCTCTGTACCTTCAAACAACACTAGAGGGCCCTTGTTACACACTACCAGTGATGTGACCTCAACCTTGTGGGTTACGCCAAGCAAAACTCACTGGCTCATTGACATAGGACCTATGTTATGCCGTTAGAATGCATTATGTAACCAGATTTCTCTTTAGACTATTCTATTCATTGACACAGTGACTGCACAGAGGCGTGTGATTAACAACAACAACAAAAAAAGAACTATGTTGTAAAATGTTGGTTGTGAAACTTCTGCTTCTGTGGTCCGAGTAGCATCTAGGTCTTTCCAGATATTGTTTTGCAGGCTTTTGTTGGTATGTGCGTAGGCCACTTTGAACTTTGAACAGGTTTAACTATTACACTTGTCGACCCTGACCGTTTTCTCAGCAGATTCGGATAAAAAAATCAACTCATAACATATCCCACACCACAGGATAGTCGCTCAGAATAATCTTTTAGAAACATCTGATAATCAGGTCTTTACTAACGTTGATCAGAGGAGAGAGAGAAGATGTTCAAATTTGGCCGATCATCTATATCTGTATACCCACACTTAACGAAGAGGTTGACAAATTATTGATGTTGGAGAATTGCATCTCACCCACCTTCTTATCGTGGGAATCCAGGATGTTGTCCAGCCACTTGTAGAGGTACCCGTCAGAGGAGAGGCCAACGTTGTCGGAAACTGGACCGCAACACAACACGGCAGACATGGCCTGGGAGGAGGAGGATGCATATGACACCATGTAAAAATACAAATTTTTTCATACTTTCACCCCCTTCCACACACGCTTCAGACATTCTTAAACATATTCGAAAACACTTTTTTTGTTCCATGAAATTGTATTCATTCCTTTACTTTGGAGTGACTCTGCTGCCAGGTACATGAGGATGCTTGACTTATTTTTCAGCCAATCAGATTTAAGACACTGTGTGTTGCTATGTTATTTGAATTTGCCAAGGGCCGACCTAATCTGTATCGGTGACTGATGTAAAAACTATATTTGCAATAGGACTGCTTCTTTAACCAATCAGATATCAAATTCATCCTCACGGGGCCAGAGCTGCCCTCGATGACTGCGACATTTTCCCATCTTCTGGTGAGTCAGAGCAAAACAAGTCTACTTCCACGTGTACCTTTAATGCGCAGTACTGATGGCGGTTGATCTGCATGTTCCGGTCGCTGTAGCGGTCCAGTGGTGTGAACATGATGCTGAATGGGCTGGCCCAGTGGCTGAACAGCATGAAGAGGCTGTGTCGTAGCGACTGCTGTGGGAAGATGCTCCGGCGCTGGTGCACTGCAAGGGACGTTGATTTGTTTCAACTTAAAGGAAAAAGGTTTTCAAACTTTTTCAATGCAGGAACCCCTTAAAAAGCCGACATTGCCCTCATGATAACGATAATTAAATATAACTACGATGCTCACATTGTGAATGACCTGTTGAACAGAAAGCCAATTAAATGAAGTAATTACACAGAGCCCATGCATGATTCCAAAATGAGGATGAGGGGAGGGGTGGGATACCTGGAACATTCTGGATGATGTTTGCCACAAGCGCGCTGAAGTGACAACGGATGTCCTTCAGCATATCTGAGTCCTTGTCGTTTTCCGCCTCCAGTAGCTGTCGGGTCAGGTCCACGTACTCTAGCAGCGTGCTGTTCAGAGAGTGACTCTCACCATCTAAGCCCCCACTACCTCTGTGACAAAGGTGGGAGGAAAAATTATATGTTTACTTGAAAGACACACCTTTAAATTATGTGCGTTTCAAAATGGACAAAAGGTTTTGCAATACATTTTGTGGGGCTTTTTTTTGTTATCCCGAGGTTTGGACCAATTTAAAGTTGTGAAGTGGTTCACCACATGAATCTGAAATCCTGGAATCAATTCAGCCAATTTTTATTTTATTTTAGTATTTAGAACAAAAAGTGTACTGTTATATAATACAGGAATAATGTCTTATCTTTCTTATCTTTTCAAGAACAAAAGGCATATTTTGATAATTGAAGATGTTTAAAAGGCGTTGGGGTCCTTGGACCTAAGTTTGAGAACTCCTGACATAGACGAGTGTGTTGTGGATCCCGTACATCTGACTGATGACGCCAGCATCAGCCAAGAGCTCAAAAATCCGGACCAGCTGGACCCTGAGGATGTCGCGGCGCCGGCGTCGCTTCATGTTCTGCCAAGCAAAAAGAGCATCACCATGTTTGATTCACTTCATGTGAACACGATTCAGAATTAAGTCTTCGATTTAAATGACTTGCTTGGTAGTCATGACTCGATTGGACTTAGACCAGAGCTACTTTAGTGGTACTCCACTTGACTCGCTTGATTATTTGACAGTGACTTGTTTGAAACTTGAAGGTTAACATTTGAGATATAGGCGACTCATTCCCACCTCTGCCCCCAACTTACTTCAGGTCTTCTTTCCAGAGCTTCTTTTATGATAGGATTTAGCTCCTCTATCAACTCTCTGTTGATATAGAAGTCGTTCCATTAGCACGTGAAATTCACAACTAAGTAAATGCTGGTTGATGTCGAGGGATGCCCGTACCTGAAGGCCACAGGGTTGGTCCTGCCAAGTCCCAGCACGAGAGACTCTGTGATGTCCATGTTCTCGGAGCGCATCATTGGAACAATGTGTTTGAACAGTGAGGAAGGGGAGGGAGTGCCCACAATCTAGGAAGAAAAAAAAAAAGCGTAGAAATTCTAGGTGCTAGTTGATTATGATAAATAACAACCGCAGAACAACAGGACAGCAAGGTTTATAATTATAGATGGCGATAAGGCGATGGACGGACAAAATGAAGCTCCTTGCCTCACTTCGATATAGTTTGTTGGCTAAAAGATGGCATCAAAGCAAAAGCTTGGATTACACATGACCACGGAAGTTGGAATGTATCTTTAAACGTGGGCTGATAAGGCAGCGCTAGACCCTGGGAGGAAGGGGTACGAGTAGCTGATAGGACAGAATGGGACATGTTAAGTACATAGTAGACAGACATGGTGGACCAGACGAGAAGAGGACAGAACTGGACTGGATTGTATTGCACAAGGCAGGGCAGCATAGGACAAAGCAGAGCAGGACAGGGCAGGATGACTAAGGACACGACAGAACTGGATGAAAAAAGATATGACAGGACAGACTTGATTAAGAATTAAGAGGACAGGACTGGACAGGACAAGCCAGAACATGACACAGCAGTACAGAACAGAATTATACAGGACAGGTCAGAAGCAGTGAGCCAGGTGTGTGGTGGCCTCAAAATCATCTAATTGGGGCATTCCCAAACTGGCGAGCCTCCTGACCTTGGAATCATAGCTGTAGCCGCTGTCCGGCGTTGACGCCAGCGTCTCGGACGGGGAACAGCGGACGGAGCCTGAGGCGGACGAGGAGGAGCCTGAGGGGGACGAGGACGAGGAAGCCGAGCTGCAGCAGAGGATCAGGTAATTGCGCCAGAGGCTGACGTAGGAGTCGCTGCTGCTCAGGCTGTTCACTTTTTTGGCATTGATGGGGCTACTGCGGGTGGACAAATTACAGGCAACGTCAAAGTGAAATCAGTCAAATCCATAGAGAGTACTCGATGTCACTGTTGACTGTACTTGATGTCAACTTGAGGAGAGAGCAGCTGCAGGCGGGTGTAAGCAAACATCCAGGCGTAGTTGAGAGCGCTCGGGCAATGCTTGGGCAGGTTCTCCTGGCACAGGTAGCTGGACAAGCTGATGACCCAGGGGTCCTGGCCCTGCGTGACATGCGCAAACACCCAGATGTGTGATGGGCTCACTACATCAAACTGGTGGCTGATGGGAGACGAGCTCCACTCCGCCAGCGATTGGAGGTCGATGCCGCTGGGACAGTACAGCAGGTTGGTCTGGAAAGGAGGTCAAGACAATGGCATCAACTTTTAAAGTCGGCAGGAATTGTTTCATACATTTTGAACTTTAATCTAAAGTAGCTCAGGCTTTTTACACCAAGTACGACTTCAAAAAATTCTGGGCAATCCCAGTCCCACCATAATGATCAGCATGAAACTCTAGCTGTGTATTAGGCCCAATAATTAAGCAAGAAACGGGCGCACACATGTACAATTTACATTTTTGACATTTCTTTTCTGCCCCCAGCATGGGAAAAAGTAGTTTACCTGATCAGCACCAGTGAGATGAATGAAGCTCTCCAACACTGATGCACTCAGTCTATCCATGACATCTATTGCCAATTCCTCATCACCCTAAAAGAGTGGCGTAGAGAAAATTTCAGAGAAGATTTCACTCTTTTGATGTTTAAAAAAAGGGGTTCTCAAACCGAGGTCCAAGGACACTTGGTGGTCCACTAGCTGTCAGTTAGGGGTCCGCAAAGTGCAATAAATGATGTTGAATTATTTAAAATAGTTCATACAAGGGGTGGGCAATATACAGTGTATCATCCTCGATATTATCGTCAAAGTAACTTTTATTATGTGCAATTTTACACGATGTATTAACACTGTCTCAAAAAGGGAGCCGCTCAAAAACTAATGGGTCTATTGATTGACTGATGGGTAGGAAGAAGTGACAAAATCTTCAATAAGTGAGTCAGTGTGCATAGACAGCAAAAGAAAATGAAGTGGTAAGTCAGCGTTTTGCTAATCAGTGGGCAGGACTCAGTCAAGTTACTGTCGCAGCAGCAACTGTGTGACTCTGCTAAAGAACATATAAGTGAACATCATTTTAGCAAAAACAAGAAAGTGGACCTCATATTGTATAATCACTTTGCTGTGAGACCACAAAACGTCTGTGGTTTGGGGTACCAGATAACTTTATCTGTGTCCATAGATTTCCCCTCGACAGAGAACCGCTGCTTCGAAAGTAGCACAATGAACATGATTATGATGATAATTATTGTCCTTATTACCTTGCCAATGCCCAGTGCGGTATGCAGTGCGCGGACCTCCTTCAGGACATTGACACCCAGCCTGCGCGTGGCAGGGCGACAGCTGCAGAGCACCACCATGGCCAAACCTTCCACCACGTGGAGCACACCAAGCAATGAGCGCTCCATAGAAACAGAATGGCTGCTGGTCGAACTCTGTGGAGACAAGCTCGTGTTAAGTAGGAGTCATTAACTGTATGTGTTCTTTGAAAAAATGTATTATGTAGACACTCATAAGAGGGATCGACCTGCACATCATGGCCCCTGTTGTTGCTCTGCGCCACCTGCCTCCACTGACTGATGAGCTGCAAGAGCATCTTGACCGAGTTGTCCAGCAGCGTGGGGTGCACATCCGTCACCTCACGCATGATGAAGTAGACAAAGCCCGACAGCACGTCCTCGCGCCACTCCGGAAAGTCCACCATGAGGGCTTGGAGAGAGGTGAAGGCTAAGCCGCGGAGCTCCTCGTCCATATGGATAGTCAGCCTGGGGGAGAATGGAGTAGAAATTGGGGAAGGTGGGAGATTAATATGATCATACAGTGAAACCATACAATAAAATAGCAGATAGCGGTGGAGAGACACCGTTTAAGTCGATAAAAAAATGTATCCTTTGCAGCCTGCTCTTAAAAACACCAAGAAAAATATAGTGGATCTTCACTATTATCGGTTGAATAGGGACCAAACCAAACGGTGAACAGCGAAAATCCACAAATAATTCTCACTCACCGAAAATTGCTTATTATTAATTACCTATATTAAACATGAAAGATAAAACATAATGAAAATGAAAAGAAATAAACCAGCTTAATTTCGTGTCATAACTCTACATTGGGAAGAGCCGCCTCAAGACGCCAGCTGTTTTGCTCTTTGTTTGTCTTTATGGAGCATGGCCTTGTGAGTGACGGGAACTTGGCCAATTTGTCTGCGTGTGAGCGTCTGGGTGTGATCGACCGCAACTCCTTGCAAGTGTTTTCATCTTGTACTTGCGTGTTGGACTGTTCAATAAAGATCCGAAAGTGCATCAGCGACAGTAGCTCTCCTTGCCCAAAAGTTAGGGCATCACATCACTTTAAATGCTGCGGGGTTTTTTTCCCACTTCACTAAAGCTCGCTTGTATCTCAAATTTTGGCTCACAACACATGCGTGTGAGCGTCTGGGTGTGATCGACCGCAACTCCTTGCAAGTGTTTTCATCTTGTACTTGCGTGTTGGACTGTTCAATAAAGATCCGAAAGTGCATCAGCGACAGTAGCTCTCCTTGCCCAAAAGTTAGGGCATCACATCACTTTAAATGCTGCGGGGTTTTTTTCCCACTTCACTAAAGCTCGCTTGTATCTCAAATTTTGGCTCACAACACAAAGCAAATGAATTAAAAGTGTTTAAAAAAAAAAAAACAACCAAAGATAGAAAAAAAAAGAAAAACTCAAGTTGGGGCACTCAGTCAAGTTGCCACTGTACTCAGAAAGAAGACATACTTGGCAAGCAGCTCGATGAGATCTTGTCTGCTCATGCCATCTGGTATCAGTCTCGGAATGGCAGCGACGCACGTGCGGAAGAGATCGATCTTTGGTTTCCTTTCCCCCCTGTCAACCAATCAAGTCCCAGTCAAAATGAATATGTGAAACACCCAAGCAGACCCACACAAAGGACATACGTGATCATATCCTCTGGCTCCTTGTTGGACATTTGGACGCTGGTCATGCTCATGGAGCGTCCCACCTCCTTGTCCAGGTGTCTCAGGATATTATCCAAGGCTTTCCTCACTTGCGGGTAGTACAGGGACATGCCTGGAAATGACAAATTATCATTTAACACTGATCTGCTATAGTACTGGACTACCCAAATTCCCCAAACCTTTTGTGGCTGGTGCATACTGCCTGCCGTTAAACATGAGTTTGAACACGACTCTGCACACTGCCATATCCCGTTATAGGAGGGTGGGCACGTTCACACAACCACAATATCGCGAAAGTTTTCTTTTTACTTGCCCTCTTGAAGAGAAAACTTTGTATTTGCAAAGGGGTGTGTGGATTTTTGATATCCAGTTTATATATAAAACCAATAACCAGCCATAAATATTGGCCACTTATTAAGATATTTTTTAAGTCAGCAAACTTAGCCCCTGCTGCCTCGAAACGTGTCATGACAAGCGTACCGATGACCTTGGCCTCCTCGTCTGTGAGTGTGGTGTTGAGGAAGATCTTTTTAACGCGCAGTGTATTCCCAGAGGGCATGATGATGCTGGTGGTGGGCATGGGGGGCTCGCTGTCCTTTTGCTGCAGGCTGTTGGCAATCACCAGGAAGGCTCGCAGGCCGATATTCATCCTCTGGGAGGGAGATGACAAAACAGTGGACTAACAATATATTTTTATAATAAAAAAAAAAAAAAAAAAGTTTTTGGCGAAGCTTTACCTCTGGGTTGATGGTGAAAGTTTTGTGAAACTTGCCCACGCAGAGGAGGTCATAGATGATCTCCTTCATGGCAAAGTCCAGTCTTTCCTAGCATCCAGAGACAAAGGAAACAATCTAAGGCACGGGGACTCAAGAAAGAAAAAGAAATCCAGCTTTTTTTTTTTTTTTCGGGGAGTTACCTGAGCTATGAACTGGATAATTCTAACAAATATGTTGAGGGGCGTGTCCCGCGGCACCACACTGCGGGAGCCTTTGGGGAAAAGTGCTGAAACAATGCTGAGTAGTCGACTAGGTGGAGGAGAATGGAGAACACAGAAAAAGAACATCAGGCGCCCATTTTGAGATTCAAAACACAGTGGTGACTGGAGATATAAGTGACTCAACAATTTTTTTTTTTTTTGCTTTAACTTACAAGGAAAAAATACATGATGTGCCTGCTCGATCACAATCAGTGTTTATACAGTATGAGCAAGTATGAGAACATAAATAGTTAAAATGGACAAAAAGGGACCGATGGGCAAGCGTGGACAACATGGAATGAGACTCTTCAAACTTATAGCAGATTTATCAAAAGCTGTTCAGTCAGAGATATTTAGGTAGATTAACTCGGTAAAGGCTGTTTGATATCAATGCAAGATAAATGCCTGGACTGACCTCTGCGTGACAGTGTTGCTCTCACACTTAATCCTGATTATGTACACCCACAGCAGCCGGTAAAGTGACTCCAGAGCCACTCGGGACATTTTGGGGTCTTTGTTCTGCGGGAGTAAGAACAGGGACGCATGAGCAACCGAATTTCGGTTTACGTTTAAGATGGATTCAACCTGCCAAGGTCCAAGTGCCCGATTCTGATAAGCACTTAATTTGAGAAGAAGCTTTTTAATTTTGAGGAGCAATTTTTGCCGGTTACCCCAGAAACCTGAAGCAATTGTTTTACACAACAATAAGAAAAAAAACAAAATCGGACAAAAATTGATACAAATCTAACACAATATGGATTAAAAAATGCTTGACAACAACTGACAAAAATCTAAAAACATGATCATTTATTTTTGATATTTATTCATGACTTTGCTTCCAGCTGCACTTCGCCGGGGGAGTGCTGCCAAAATACACGCGAAAAATCTGGCTTGATTTAAGCATAAAAAAAGGAGGAGCGACAGCATCGGCGTAAAACATTTCTGCATAACTAAACCCCAAGAAATGCTTTTCGGCAGCAGCCCGTCTAATCCGACTCGAAAGCTTGTAGACGGACACAGGGCAACAGACCCCAGATAGGAGCGCGCATGACTAAACTCATCTTTGTGCTTTCATGCGCATATTTCTACTGGGCGCTTTCATCATGCAAATGTCAACCTGGTTTGCCAAACAGCAGGATGGGAGAATTTGTCATGCGAGACATAAGAATAAGATTTTTTGCTTGGTCTCTGTCAAACAGTAACAATTTCAAAATAAAAGAAGTAGTGAGAAATGGACAAATAAAAACAAGGTTTTTATATGACTATAGCCTTTTTTTCCCCCAAAAAAAATCGGCTCATGTAAATATTTAAATTGTATTCAAATTAATTTAATCAAATAACTGAGTAATCCATTTTGCCCAGCCCTTGGGAAATTGTGAACAATTAAAAAAAAGAAAAAAAGAGGAAACTTCATATTATTTATTGCCACTCCCAATTGAAAATTTCCCATCAAACTAATCATAAAACAAAGAGAATTACACATTTTGCATTTAACCAAACCACATAACTTTGCCAAACAAAAGTCAGCTATCTTCAAGATAGCACACTCCAAAAAGGCCATAGACTGCCAAATAAAACTAGAAAGCCATTGCAATGTTATAACCCTTTAAACAATGGATATTTGAACACAAATAATGCAGCTACACACACTATAATCATTCTCACAGGTATATATTCTTTATCCTCTATGGAAAAACAACTAATATCACTGCAGCTGATTGAGCCATTGTGTCCAACGCTTTTGTATTACACTGCCCCTTGGTGCCCAAAGCATGCACACTAGAAAGACACCTACAATGAATTATGATGCACAAACCAATTCTTTACATACCATTTCAGTTATGTTAAACTAATGAACGCATCCATTCAAACAATATGAAACATGGCATTTCCTATGATACTGTACTTCCATCAAGGCAAAAATCAGTCAACAAACGAGAACCCAAAGAAGACTTTTCTCCAACGATGGTACATAATCTATTTGACAATAATCATGAATGCAAACCATATTGACACCAACAACTTTCCTCATACTTTTGCTTTGGAAGCTATGGAAAGCCCCCCGTCCTAGTAATGTTAGCCTTCACCAGGCATGCAGAGGCGTGATGTCACGAGGATGCCCAACAACTTACCTGCAGCGTCTCAATCTGCTTCCGGATGCTGTTGTTAGACGGCATCTGGAGCGGGTGAATGTGGGTGGTAGTTGGGGTGAGGGTGGGGGAGAAATAAAATGACAGCAGGCAAAGAATGAAGGTTGGTGAGGAAAGCAAGCACAGACACATAAAACATGCGAGTTATTAACATAAAAATAAGAAGAAAACAAAACCTGTCACGCATGAAAAGTTTTGGGTAGTTAGCTTTAGGGGACATCGCAGGCTCAACCTATGACACACTATGACCTTAACAGGAGAATTTAAATTTGACTCACTCTATACTTTTCAATGTCACACATTCAATCCTTCACTACTTTTTGTATGACGTCCTCTAAAAAGGAGCTAAGTAGCAAAATTCACATTTGATCCATCCAAAAATTCCTGCTCATGACAGGCTGCTATCGAGAATTCTAATGATTATTCCATCGATTATTAAAGATTGATTTGGCATTTTTAAAAACAACGTCCATGTGAGATGTAGGTATTATTTTTGTCCTCTTGGGATCATCATCCTCACATTCTACTGTAACATCCATGACTTTGAGTGTGTATGGTTTAAAAAGGTGGGTCCTGGCCTGGTGAGTGATGTGGATGTCAGCGAATGAGACAGTAGCGTTTGCTGGCTGTTAACTCATGTACTGGTTGTGAGTGAATCAGCGCGATTTGTGGCCTGCAGTTTAAGTCACACGAGCAGAAAACGGAAGACAGAGCGGAGGTGATGTGAACACAAGACACAAGGGAGTGGGAATTTTACGTACAGTGGAACACCGCAAAAGTCAACATGGATGTAAAATAACTGTGAGGAACTACTGGGCTCAGACTGGCTGGTTGAAAATGTTAAAATGTAACTTAAAACACTGCCTGTTCATTTTTTTTTTTTTTACATAACATCAATTTACGTGACAACTTCATATGGGGATTTTTATTTTTTTGAACAACTTTGAACAACCGGGAAGTTAATCGGCATGGTGTGTTTTGAACTTCTGAGGTTCCACTGTATGTTAAAAATAAATGAATAAATTGTGCTTGAAAGAAACGGCAAACAAAAAACAAAAAAAGTCTACCAAGTCTTCAAAGCGACTAGCTGTATTTTAGACAAGATTTTGAATCAAGCACGTGTCATGTTTTAATCCTGTGGCAAATTTAAAACTGGACAGAACCATCACGGCAAGCAAATACCAATTGCTTGACACGGATAAGAGAGTGGGAGGGGGGCTGGTAGGAAGGCAATTACTACCCAGCCCATGTGTTATTTTTTACAGAGTTGTTGAGTTTTTGACAAATTGCCCCTTTGTTCTCTGTGAGATCCTTGTCTGGCATTCCCAGCAGTAGCAAAATGCCTCCCTCCATCCTGGCATGCAAATACAATGAGTGTCCCGATGCTCTCATGTGCTTGGCACGATGCTAAGCCTTCATGCACTGTAGTGGGAAAAGAAAACCTGAAAGTTTTCGAGCGATTTTGTTGGCTGTCATTGTATCGCGTTTATGTGCTTTAAGGTTGCTGTTTTGGTTAGCAACAAGCTCTGGACAACAAAAACGCTGCTCAAGGTTTGTGTGTGCGTAAGTCCTTGTATTTTAAGTAACTGAGATGCCACAGGGTTAAAACAAATGGTAATATGGGAAAAATCATTCATATAATAACAACAACATTAATAACCCTAAAAATGATCCGAAATCCTGAACCAGAATCAGGATTGGTACCCAATTATTGAGAAGAGGCCAACTACTCAAAATCACAATGGTGCTACACATCCCACCGATGCACATGGAAACCACCAAACAATCTCCACAACGATCAATCAACATGCAAGTAGAAACAAGAGTCATTGAGTGGGATCATTCTGTCGATTAGAAAGTGATAAGGGACAAGGAGACTAGATTTCACTGAGATTCACAGACCTGAGTAAAAACAGCACTTGGAAATACCAAAATAACATTTTGGTGCAAAGAATTACATCACAGAGCTTGTTAAAATCCACTGAGCTTACTTTAAGCGGGGTACACACACATAGCAATAATCGAGTCGAATTTGAGCCTTTTTTACACTCTGATTACAGTCAGGAAGACCTGATTGTCAGATGTCTCTAAAAGATGAAGCAATTATCCACTGGTGTGGGGTGTGTGAAGGATGTTTTTTTTCCCTCCCCAATCCGCTTGGAAAATAGAAAGAAATAAGATCGTAATGTGTTTCAAATAGCTCAGTAGAGCACGGCACTGGTGGGCTCGGTCATATTTTTAAAATCAGTTGCGCGGTCTAAAATTGTTATATGTGTAACCCATGGGCGGCCCGCGCGGTGGTTCAGTGGTTAGCGCGTCGACCTCACAGTGCAGAGGTACTGCGCTAATTCCAACTCCGGCCTAAGTGTGTGGAGTTGCATGTTCTTCCCGGCCCTGCATGGGTTTTCTCCGGCTACTCCGGTTTCCTCCCACATTCCAAAAACATGCATGGCAGGCTGATTGAACACTCTAAATTGTCCTTAAGTGTGAGTATGAGCGCGGATGGTTGTTCGTCTCTGTGTGCCCTGCGATTGGCTGGCAACCGGTTCAGGGTGTCCCCCGCCTACTGCCCGAAAACAGCTGGGATAAGCTCCAGCACCCCCCTCGACCTTTGTGGGGATAAAGCGGCTCAGAAAATGAATGAATGAATGTGTAACCCACTTAAACGCTCATAAGTCACTTAAATATAGATCACTTGGCATTTTGTCCTGCATTGAAACATGCATTTTTGTGGGAAAAAAAAAATGCCCGTATTACCAGCCACTGTAATCAAGTGCTATTCCTGTCCAGATATGCCGCTTGACAATGAGAGGGAAAGAACATTATGATCTTCAACACACAAGGCACGCCAGTCACAACCAATGCAGCTTCTAATTCAATCGGCAGCAACAAGTTATTCATCACAACAATGAAAGCAAAATAGTCACACTGTTGCTTTCTCTCACCAAAATACCAGCGCGGGATTACGCAACTCCAGTCATGAGGATTCAAAAGTGAATTAAGGCATTGTCGAGCCCAGCCCGCAGTCTCCATACAGCCTTTGTGCAAGCTGTACGGATTGCAAACCTCGGGGCGTTACCTTTAGGTGTGAGAGGCAGTTCTGCAGGAAGATATGCCAGTTGTTGAGGAAGAACTGTTTCTGACTGACACACAGCAAGCAGGTCACCAAGGGATACAAGGCCTGGACGGGCAAAAAAAAAAAAAAGTGTCTGTCAGAACCAACGTGCACGATAGGAATGTGACAATCCTTATCTGGAGAAATGCTTAACAAGTCTATATGAGAAAACCCAGTGGGGTACACAAAGCCGTTGCAGCTTTTATTCAACAGGGCGTCCCCAAAGGGCGCCCACAAGTCATTCCTCACTTAAGCAGGGTCGGCAAGTGGTTTCCCGTCCCTCATTGTATGAGAATTTGAGCACCTTTGTTTGCATTTGCGATAATCCAATGTGAAAAATAAGAATGAACTACAGATATTGTATCGTGTATTTTGGAGGAAATAAGTATTAACCAAAGAGTGCTTCTTTCTGGAGCTAAGGTCAAACGTGGTCTGGTACAGCTTCTCCACAAAGTTCTTCAGGCACGGCACGTTGACTTCATTTTTCACCGCCTGGAGGACAAAGACAAAACTTATTACCGGGAGACGGTCCTCCAAATAACACAATTACACTCCGAGACAGGCATTCGTATGGACAGGAGAGAATAAAGGGAACTGGCTTCACTCACGGCCGCAACTGGGATGAGGATCTCCACAAAAAGGCCAGCTAGTGCGTGTTTTATGTCCTTGTCCTTGACTTCCAGGAAGTATTGGGCACACTCCTACAAAGACATGAGGTCACACTTTTAAGGAAGTAATTGACTTGAACATGCGGCATTCGGCCAATGAGAAGGCCCAATTTCCAACTTTCCTACGCAAACTAACTTGGCGATATTCCAATTTGGGCCTTTCACACTATTTCTTCACATTTTAAATGATAGCTCTCAAGACTGAAGATGTGTTGCCAAATAATGGTATTTAATTTTTATTACTCTACACACTGTTATATTTTCATTACTGAGAGGTAGTTTTATCGATGAATATTAACTCGTATGTTATTTTTATGCACATTCAGAATGTTAAAAATGTTACTTAAAACAGTGTAATTTTTTAAATCACAATTGACGGATTATTTACTGTGCCATTTTGTAATCTGGGTGCAAAAAAAAAAAAAGCTATTTATTAGCCACACAATTTGAACTCAACACCGTTACAAAACCGAGGCGGGATGAAATGAGGACATAAACCACCATACGCTTCGTTAAAAGGCTCTTACGAGGCAGCAAGGAATGCCTTGCAAAGAGATGAATGAGAAAAGGAATCTTATGAAGACATGCGCGTACTTCTTGGCAAAACCTCTGGCAGTTATTCATTGGGTTTTATGAGGCGCTACCGGCTTTGAACAGAGCGGTGAAGTCGTAAAGAAAAAAATAACGTCTGGTGTGATTCAGCAAACAATCTTATCAGCAGATAGTAATTATGACAAATGTTTATAGGCATGTCCTTGTGTGCGGCGAGCCATTGGAACGTTTACTCCACATCCTTGACAGGAAGCTTAAGGTCCGTGTAGGCTTCGCTCGTCGGACGACAACTACCGGTACATGTTCATAGTAAGGCAAAACTGTGCACTAAATGACAACAGATGACGGTGGAAGGTAGGAGCGGGGGAAAAGAAAGGTGCCAGTGTGCGAAATTGTCTTAATAGGGAGAACACAGAGTGTGTACTAGTATTTGGAGCTTAAGATGAATATCAAGGATATGGCATTTAAAAAAAAAAAAGCTTTCCATTAGTGGGTAATTCACCTGCATGAACAGAAAGGACGCCTCGAAATCCTCCACGGGGTACATTTTGACCCGGAAGAACTTCATGCCCATGATGAGACTGATGATGCACTGTACGATGTAGGGACTCTGCTCTTTTTTCCGGAGCTCGTCCAGCTCTGTGTTGAACTTTTTTGTCACTGCTAAAAACCTAAAAACATGTACAAACAGGCGGAAGATTATAAAATGGCTCTTATTCATTTTTAGAGCAGGTTTGCTGGTTTTGATTAATGGTAGCTTGTTTTTAAATGCTTTGTTTAGTTTTTAATAGATATAGTGTTAGCTTTATTATCATCATTATTTGTACAAAGTGGTATTTGCAAGCTTAAAAATTTCACAGTAAGTATTCCTGTAATAAAAGCCAAAACTGTATTCAGTTAGGAGAGACGAAGAACCATCCACAAATCAAATGTAAAATACATAGAAAGCTGAACTAAGACTAACTTTGACTGTGTGAGAACTCCAATGACCTCTGCGTACAAGTCTGCGATGATGTGCACGTTGCCTGTGTTGGGGCCACAGTATCTGCAATGAGATCAAAGTATCAGCCGGTCACGTCATTTTCAATGAGTACGCAAAGGTTACTTTAAACCTAAAGAAAAGCAAACCATAAACTGCGCTAGCTTGATGTTAATGCACAAAGCAAAATGTCACAGACGTGTTGATGAAACTCGCATCGATGTGGTGATAGGTACAAAACTGCAGAGTGCAACTTTTCTTACTCAAAATCATGTTACAAAAGTATTTCTTGGCGTTTTTTTTTTTTTGAAAGCTGTGATGGATTATTGCATTTCCATTCCAAAAAAATATATATATTTGTGAAAGATTATTTGAGAATCAAGTGTTTTGTTTTGAGTCACATGCGTGGTCATGCAACAAATCAAACAACGTTATTCATAGAGCACTTAAAAATAAATACCGCAACTGAAACAATGTGGCGTAGATGAATAAATATTGAACGCCAAACAATGACAAGCAATAAAGACAAATCAGACAATGAGACAAGGGCAGAGTCAAATGCTGTGTTCAAAGGCAATGAACGCGAATGTGTTTGTGCTTACTTACCCCTCTTTGTGTTTAAAGTGCTTAAATGCCAGGTTTAGAACTTCATGTACTAAAGCGTCCGGCACTGGATGAAGAGGAATCTGTGACAAACATGAACAAATTACTCTTATTAGTCAGCAGTGATACTTTTGTTTTTTTAAATCCTCACATTGCAACATTTCATTTCCATCAGGAGCAAAGCCATGGGCAAGTTAGAGCCGGTCTCCCGTGGGTACGGCTTTGGGAATGTCGCTTAAAAAATTTGGATGTCTCCTTTGGCTACGCACCAAGGCTGGAAATGGTGCAAGTGTTGATTTACGAGGCACCCCCTGTGGGTAAAGGCCTCAATGACAACAGTACAGCACATTCCTTAAAACAATTAAGCTTTTAAAAAGGGAAAAGAAATTGTCCTTTGTATGTGCTATTCATAGACGAAACTAATAATGCACATGCGGACACTCCCTGCTTTACAGTAGTCCTGCCAGGCACCAGTCGTGAGAAGTAACTAAGTACAAATACTTTGTTACTGTACTAAAGTCGATTACGGCAAATGAGTCGCATCAACGATGCAATTCCCGTAATGCAGAACTCTGTAATTTCAGAGTTGTTTGTGGTACTCTCAAGTTTCCTCCTCTCCTTCAGTCCGCTCTCCTTACATACAGTGGTTGAATTTGCATTATCATTAGCGGTAGCCACAGTTTGGCTCAGTCCGGTCATGTGATCATTAAGTGATCATTAAGTTTGAGGAGCGTTGCTAAAGAGATGTATCCATAATGTAGGATTACAGTTTTGTTTTTGTTTTTTAATTAATTTGAGAAAAATAAAAATATGAATTACGTTGGATAGCACGGGGGAGATAATATGGTGGGATTTGGAAGGGTCATGTGAGGTTCGGCTCATGTCTTAAGAGTAATGCAATTTTCGTTTTCAACAGGCTCATTCAGAGTCTGTACTTTTTTTTTTTTTTAACTCTTAAGTGAAGAAGGTGAATCTGAACTTTTACCAGACTATATCTCTTCATACAATTATTTATACTTTTACTCTTTCAATGCCATCCCTCGAGGATGCAATGCATATTTGGTGGCTGTAGGCAGTGAACGCGTTTCAATGAAGTACATAGTGTAAGTACTTTTTCTACCTCTGCCACGCAAAGGGAAAACAATGGAAAATGCAAAGCGGCATTCAAAGCAGCAACAACCGCTCACCCGTTTGAGAACTTCCACTGATACCAGGCAAAACATGAAATCTATGGCTAAATCCCTCCTCTCCAGAAGGTAGTCTTTATCTCGGTGCTGCTCATCTCTGCAAAACAAAACAAAACAAAATAAAGAAAATCCATGAGAGGAGAAAGGGGGGGGGGGAAAATGCAGAAGAGAAAATTTAATCGACTTTCAACGTTGCATCTCACCCTTTGGACTTTGTGCTGGAACGAGGCCTGTACTCGTACGACTCGTCTTCGGTGCCACTCTGCCGTCGGTACCAGTCGAACAGCGTACGCAGCAGGGAGGGCAAACAGTGTTCGGCTATGGAGCTCATAGAGCTTATTAACTGGAAAACCACAGCACAAAAAATTGATTTATACACAAATAACAAAAACAGGCTCACAACCCACAACTACACAATCCAAAGGTGTTCACCGGACTTCACAATGACAACAACCTCGTACAGTGTAAACAGGAAGTATTCACATTTTTTGGAGTTGACGTCCCCTTTAAAAAAAACAAAAAAAACAAAAGCAACATTTCAAAGTAGGTTGATCTAAACCCCCATCAGAACACAGGGACTAAGGATGTTTGGTTGGTCCTCAATACGGTAGAGCTCAAGGGTGACCACACCTTGAGGTTTTTCTCCCATGATAAGCCTGTTGAGTTCAACACAACAGAATGTTTTCATTCCTTTTCAAAGCAATCGGCCATTTCGGGCTTTTTCATCAGTAGAACAATCTTCTTATTTCCACATAATGCATTAAAAACTGTGAATTTCTTAACAATGTGGAACAATCTTCTGAAGTAAATTTCCTTCATCTTGTAAGATGACGTTCAAATCGGGGCAAGTGATTAATATCAGCAATTTTAATGTACAGGAGGAACTACAAACGCAAAAACCTCCCGGTGAAAAACAAAAGCTCAAATGCTTCTCTTATGTGTGTTCAGTGACAAACAAATACACGACACAGTGAAAGGTTTTGGACGTGGCAGGCATCGGTCAGCGGGCATGCAGGGCGTCGTCTGTGGACGACGGCCAACAGAGTTATGCAAGTGGCACGCCCACTGCTGCCCCTCGTGGCGCCAGGCAGCCACACACACACACACACACACACATACACACACACACACACACACAAACAGACACAGAGACAAGCATGCACACGCACACACACACGCGCGCACATGCACGCCAGCGTCCAATGGCAGATTTAGTGGCGAGGATGACACAGCGCATCCACGCGGGCTGACTTTCCCTCACTGTATATTCTCCTCATCGGCCTCGTGTTGTGAACAAAGCTCTGCAGCAGGCCCCATTGTACACATGATGGCCCGTTGAATGGGCCATTGATTGGCCACAACTGGGGGGGGGGGTTCAAATACTGCGCACAAGTGCAGTATGGAACTTGGCAGCGGGTGTCTGCCTATTTCACACTGCCGCACTGACCTGGTCAAACTGTGCATCCTCCCCTCTCTGGAGGGACCGGGAAAGAGGTTTCTCCTGCGGGAGGAAAAGATTCAAATGTCAAGAGAGTGATACAATAGGATAGGCATCGTGTGGCTACAGTCCAAACTTTTTACAATTTTTGACCACAATTTTTATGCACCTACGGATTATTTTGCATGAACGGATTAATTTGCTAGCACTTTCCTCGGCTTTATTGCAACGCTTCCGAAAGAATGAGTTTACACTAACAGGTAATTTGCAGAGAGTCTCGTTATGCCTTTGTCATTCATCAAAAAAATGAGTTATTTTTAACGTACTATAAAACAGTTGTTAACAAATTGTGCAGCGAAGGACAACCAGTGCAGTGTGTCAAGCATTTATCCGCACACATAAAGCTAACGAGTTGCCAATGACGTTTCCAGCCCATGACTCGGGTGTTTACGAGGTCGTTAAAAGGCCACTAACCAGTGGTTCGGCCATCACCATCTCGATCTTCTTCTCGGCCAGCACGGCGAACTCGGCGAACAGGCTCTTGATGACAAACTCCCCCGGCTTGAGCTCGGGGTCGATGGTGATGATGGACATGGCCGCGAGGTTGTGTTTTTCCCACAGGAGGGGAGTCGCCGAGGCGGGGGCGCGCCTTCTACTCACGCTGTTGCTGCTGACCGGCGCGGAAGCTGCGGGGGGCGAAAGGCACAGGTCAGGGCTCAGGGAAAGACAGAGCATACAAAAGTAAAAATAGTGAGAAAAAAAAAATAAGGAAATAGTAGACCGAGACATTTTTGGCAAGAGGCTATTGGTAAAATTGAAACTGAAAAATGAATACATGGTTTTACTTGAGTGTGATCCAGATCCATTTTTTTCATAATTTTTGCCAGTTTTTCTTATATTTTTAAAAATGTATTATTATTATTATTCAATTTTTGCCATCGTTTTTGGTGTCAGAGTTTTGTCAGTTTTTTTGTCTGACGTGGAGGTTTTTGTCATATTATCATATAGGTTTTGTCCGATTTTGGTCAAATTATGTCAGACTTGTTTGTTTGGGTTTTTTTGCCTGATAAGGGGTCAGGTGTAAGGACTGAACACAGGAGTGCATTTTGCATGTAGCCCACATCATTTGCCTGGATTGTGCGTCACCAAATAGTTTTGAGCATTTGGTAAATGGGCTTTCACTTACATAGCATTTTTCTACCTTGGGTACTCAAAGCGCTTTCCACGATTACCTCATTCACCTACTGATGGCGCAGCATCAGGAGCAACAAGGGGTTCCATATCTTGCCCGGGGATCGAGCCACCAACCTCTGGGTTGGGAAACGACCGCCCCCAATCATCTGGGGGGGGTTTTTAAGGTTAAATCTATCAGGTCTCTGGTTGCAAAAAACGTTTATTATTTCGCTAAACTTTGAGGTCACCAACCAATGAAATGAATTCACATGTGATGAAGGGAGCCCACGCATGCTACACGACCCGAGAGAGAACAGCAATGGCGCCCATTTACTTTTCAATAATAGTCTCGAGGAAAACGGCACTAACCCCCCATGAAACGCATTGTCACGCAGCCAGCTCACGGTCATAACTTTGAATGGTGTGTGTGAGAATGATGTGAGGGCTGTGGCACAACTTGCAGTCTGCGCCCGCAATGGCTGTGACTGTGGCCAAGTGAGCTGCCAGCGGCAACAACAAGTGCGCCTTTACCTCATCTTCTCTTCATGGGAAGAGTCTGCTTCCTTGTCAAAGAAACACTGTAAAGGTGGAAATATTCCTATAATAAGACTATGAAGCATGACATTGTTCTTTTTTCTGCCCTGTGTTTTTAATCAGCATTTTTTGCAGGGTGCTTGGGGGCTATTTTGTGAGTTTTTTGTTGTTTGTTTTGTTTTGGTTTTTTTTACCTGTAAACCTATTTTGCCATTTTCGTCATTAAGTATTCTCCTAAGTTTCAATCAAATTGTGTTTTTACTTTTTGCCAGATTTTTGTCAAGGCTCCGTCAGACTTTTGAAAATGTTTTCATTGTCTTTTAATTTTGTCAGTTTATTTTTTGCTGCATTTTGTCACGTTTTTTTCTGGTCATATTTTGGTAATATTTTGTCCAAAAGTAAAAGACAAAATTTTTTCCTATTTATCTGTTTTTTTTGTCAGGTTTTGCTAGTTACCAGATTTTTGCCCATGTTCTTTACAAATGTTTTTGACATGTGGTGTTATGACTTTTGTTCCATTTGTGTCGCGTTTATTGCCTGATTTTTTTCTATTTAATCCAGCTGTTGTGAAAGTGCTATATAAATAAAGATGTATTGTATTGTCAGTTATTGTATTTTTTTGTGTGTTATCTTTCAGATGTTTGTCAGATTGTTTTATCCCATTCAGCTGTGTTTTTTTCCAGTAAATATTTTGTGTCAATAAAGTATTCCATTTGATTAGCATGGACAGCCGCTATTTATGCCAAAGGACCAGACAAATTGTCCAGTGACCACAAATAAATAAAAATTTCAAACGACTCTGACTAAGAGAGTCATGCGTCGAGAAACTCCAAAATGTAACCAAATGGTGACATCATACTCTGGCTTGCTTAGAAAGACGTTTTGGGAAATAAACAGCTGACAAAAGTACATTTTCCATAATATGTGGCCGCTAAATAATTTTCTTGGGAGTTTTCTTGGTATGTTAAGTACATTGTGGCACACTGTAGCGTGCCTTAGTGTGTGGCAGTCATGATGTCCTGTTGCACAGAGAGCCTTTCAAGCCATGCTGGTCTTTGTTTACTGTACTACGATGATGTCATGCAGTCGGCCTCTGCCCTAATAACCAATCAACGCTGTGGGCATCCTCATCTCCCGCCTCAAGGCAAGCTGGACAGTCACACGCAAATGCGCCAATGCTCACTTGTCAACAACAACAACAAAGAAGAATAGCAACAAAAGCGTGGAGCTACCCCACTCCCCTCACAAGTTGTTCTGTTGGTGGCATGCCAGTCATTCGTGGCATTCCAAACTTCCATTCTTTTCCAAGGATGACCTCCAATGGACTGGGAAACCGTGATGCCATTTTGTAGGCATGTTTTGAGCAAATTCTCAGGTCTTAAAACAATTTCAGGATCTATACAGTGATCTGGAACGGCATTCAAAACTTTAAGGGGTAAAAAAAAAAAAAAAAAATTCTGGGTATTCCATGAGGGTAATGAACTATTTTTACTGTTAACAGATCATATTTTTATATTAACACCAGTATGCAAAAAGGTACCCAAACTATTTACATCTAACTAGAAAAAAATTGTTGTTGAACTTTCCTAAAAAGAAGACAAATTCCCTATTCTGCACTCCTCTAAAGAGACAAACTACCGATGCGGCACTTTTCTAAAAAGACAAACTATTGAATATCACTTTTTCCTGAAAAAAAGACAAACTATTTATGTTGCACTTTCCATTAAAGACGACAAATTATGAAAACAACAAAAATACAAACTACAGTACTGCAGTCGCACTTCCCTAAACAGATAAACTGTTGATGTGTGACTTTCGTTGAAACAAAATACTGATGTTGCATTTTCCTAAAATGAAAAACTATTGGTTTCCTAAAAAGAAGAAAATAAGTTAAACCAATTTTGGATTCTTTTATCTCAATAAATAATTGAGATTTTAATTTATTGTGACGAATAACAAAACATTGGTGAAATTAATTTCCATTTAACAATTTGTATGAGATAATTAGAATAACATTAATTACACAAATATTATATTAAAATTATAATACAAGAAAACGAATTGAATAAATAAGCTTTTATTTTAAAGATTAGGTTAACTTTTTTTTTTTTTTTTTACCTTATCTGCAAATGACCTTGCCCACCAGTATGATGCAAATTGAAATTTAAGACACTTTTAGCCCAACAACTAGATTGACTATTCATAAACTGTTGTCGGAGTGTCCCAAATATACAAGCAAGTTGCATGAAAACACTTTTTTTTAACACACCTTGTTGCTTGAGGCAAACTACGTCCACAAGCCCTGCTTTTCACTGAGGAAACGATTACACAACTATAGTGACTCCACCTTGTCACAGTTAAAATTGAAAAAAATAATAAAATGAAAAAAACCCTCCCAGCGGCCTGCTCACTTCCACTGTCAGGACAACCAGCAACAACAGCGCAATCACACATACGGCTGGAATGCAGAGCTGAGAGTCAACCACCCCCCGCCCCCCTTTTTTAAACCAGACAAAAGACCTGCTGCTGATGTTTATGTGGCACGGCAGTGCCAAATGTGTTTGTGTGTCCCAACATGCTCTGGCTGTGACAAGTTACAACTAAAACAGATAATCCAGGACATTTTTTTTTCCTGGTTGTTGATTGATGAGCTACTTGCAAACACACTAATAACAGCAGTTCGGCATGAAAAAAAGACAGTATAATTAATAAAGTATTTTAACTAGTGGTAAATTACCAAAAAGAACCCAAAACATTTTAGGTCGGGAATGGATATCAGAGAGAGTATAAAAAGGAAGGTGCTGGGTTTGGCTTTTTGATTTGATGATGCCCTAGTTTGTTTTGAGAGGCCCAACGAGGAACTGGCAAGCAGAGTAGGGGGACATGGTGGGGGCAATGTGAAAGAGGGGCGAGTGGAGAATGGCCTGCTTGTTGCACTATTGATCGCAGTGCAGTTTTGTTTGGGAGTCATACAGGTATGAACGACTACGGCAACAATCCTTCACTTGCGAATATCGGTGCGGCACAGACTGTAACGTAGCGTGGTGCAACCGAGAGCCGTATTCAAGCAACCTCTCTGCAGGATATTGAGATTGAGCCAAAGTAATAATAAATGTTGTGTTTTTAAAGCATCAGAATTCACACCGCTGCACATGCCAGCTTTACGAAAAAGAAGACAAATCATGTTGCACTTCTCAAAAATGTGATAACCAGTTACAAATTCTTGAAGACAAACATTGATGCTACACAGTACAATAATGACGGCGTACTACAGACGTTGCATTTTCCTAAAAATATGACAAACTACACGACTGAAATTGCACTTTCCAAAAAAGAAGAAGGATGGTTGACGTTGCACTGAAAGAAATTATGTAAACCCTTTTCTTTCATTCGTTTGAGGTTACAGCAAACAATATATATTTGAATGGATTACAATTGTCTTGAATTTATAGAATTTAGCCTGCGATTGGCTAGCGACCAGGATTAGCTTGACCCCAGCTCTCGTATTCATTCGGCTTGGATGGACTCCGGCACTCCCAACCTCAGTCGCAACCATAAGAAAACGGACAAATGGAGAATTTTAGCTTCATTTAAAATGTCATTAAAAGGAGAAATCATGTCAAACATTTTGTTCACAATAAAATATTTTCTGCGGCCCCCAGTCGTCATTCTGGTTAATATTGCGTTTGTTGAACAGGAATTGAGCAGCAAAATCCGCTCGCTTTTATCCATCTGAGGGGCGGCCATTTTGTCACTGGCTGTCGACTGAAAATGACATCACAGCGCAAAGGGCTTGGCTTGCGAACCTCACAGGATCAAACGCAGAAAACAGGTGAGCCGTGACTAGTCTTTACCTGAGCCGTTGGGTACTGTGATGTCATTTTCAGTCGACAACAAGAGGCAAAATGTCTGCGCTCTGATATGGAGAAAAGTCGGTGGATTTTGCTGCTTAATTCATATTACAAAAATGCAATATTAA